GTGACGGCCTGCTGAGACTGCTTACCTTGCTCAACCCATCGCACTTTTCGCTGCTCTGACTGGCTCCATCACCCCTTTCCGGCCTGCAGCCGGTTTCCGTCCGCGAATCCATTCTACGTGGCTGGGAAACATCCTATCTACCCGCCTTGCGACGTGCCCACCGCTCGCTCGTCGGCCTTTGCCACAAGTCCTGGGCGGCTGCGAGCCCGACCCTGCCCAAAATCCTGGGACTGCCGCGCATCCCCGTGCACGGCAAAACCGGCAAGGGTTATCCCTACAGCTTCCTTCAATTTCCCTCGGGAGACGATCCAGAAGTCATCGACGCCGATGTCGTGATCGTCGGCAGCGGATGCGGTGCTGGCGTCGCCGCAAAAAACCTCGCCGAGGCCGGATATCGTGTGATTGTCGTCGAGAAATCCTATCATTTCTCCGAAGATCACTTCCCCATGACCCCCGCAGAGGGCACCGTTCACATGTTTGCTAATGGCGGTGCCGAGATCTCTGATGACGGCTCGATTTCTGTTCTCTCTGGTTCAACTTGGGGCGGCGGCGGGACCGTCAACTGGTCTGCCTCTCTGCAGACCCAATCCTTTGTTCGCCAGGAGTGGGCAAAGTCCGGCTTGGACCTCTTCACCTCGATGGCCTTTCAACAGTCTCTAGATCGCGTCTGTGACTATATGGGCGTTTCCACCGATATCGAGCATAACTTCTCCAACAACGTTCTCCTCGAAGGCGCCCGTAAACTTGGCTACACAGCCAAGACAGTGCCCCAGAACACCGGCAACCAGGAGCACTACTGTGGGTACTGCACCCTAGGATGTGCTTCTGCCGTCAAGCAAGGTCCCGCTGTTTCCTTCCTTGCCGACGCCGCCCGGGCTGGTGCCACGTTTATTGAAGGATACGAGGTCGACAAAGTCTTGTTCGACCCCCGTGCTCCCGGGAAGAATAAAGTTGCTATCGGAGTTCGAGGCACTTGGAGGTCTAGAGACGCCAACTCCATGACACATGGAGAGCCGCTCATCAAGAAAAAGCTGGTCGTCAAGGCAACCAAGGTAATTGTCTCCTGTGGCGCCCTCCAATCTCCGCTTCTACTCCTCCGCAGCGGCATCAAAAATTCAAACATTGGACGAAACCTACATCTTCACCCAGGTATGTCCAAAATCCAAATTTTTTTACTACAAGGTATAGTTGCTAATCTCCTTTAAAGTCCTTATTGTCGGCGCTGTGTTCAACAAGGAAACGCGCCCGTGGGAAGGCGGAATCTTGACCTCACTTGTCAGTGACTTTGAAAACACCGATGGCACTGGGCATGGCACCAAAATTGAGGCTCTAACAATGCTGCCTTCAATCTTTCTTCCCTCATTTACCTGGAAAGACGGGCTTGATTTCAAGCTCTTTGCTGCTAACCTTCGGAGCATGAGTGGCTTCATCAGTCTCACACGAGACCGAGATTCAGGCATGGTTTATCCCGACCCCGTTGATGGGAGGTGCCGGATAAAGTACACCCCTTCCTCGTACGATCGCAAGAACATGCTCGAGGGAGTCATAGCCAGTGCCAAAATAGCTTACGTCTCTGGCGCTAAAGAAATACGCACAACCTGCCATTCCATCCCGCCTTTTGTGCGCCCAAAAGACCCCGCCGGCTCAGTTGAGGAGGGCATCAATAACGCCGCCTTCAAGGCCTGGATCCAGCAATTCCAGCAGGGAGACCCCCTCCCCACCTGGGCTTGTTCGTTTGCTAGTGCACATCAGATGGGCACTTGTCGCATGGGCACATCGTCTTGGAAGAGCGTTGTCAACCCTCTTGGTCAGGTTTGGGGAACTGAAGGTCTGTATGTTATGGATGCCTCGGTGTTCCCGAGCGCAAGCGGTGTCAACCCCATGGTGACCAACATGGCAATCAGCGACTGGACAAGTCGCCGCCTAGCCGAGTTGATGAAGAAGGAGGCCTCCTCGATTGGATCGCCGCGACTTTAGGACTTTATAGCTTCTACCCTCTCGTTGTCGTTTCTATTGTCAGCAACCTCCAAGCCCATCCTTAAGTATTTGTATTACGAGTCTCTGCGGAGCCAGAAGTAGTGAGAGTTGGCGTGGTTATCATGCCCAACCGTATGTCTTAGCAATCCAAATGTAAAACTATGCTACTTTTTTCTTCCCCTCAATACAAGGAGATGACAGTATTGCTTTTCTTGGGAGGTCAAAAGGAAGATACCCCTGAATTGCTTTAATTAGGAACCAAATTCCAGACAAAGAAACACGGAATCAGGCAGTTATCAGCTTCAATATACAATCATCCAATCCACAAAGCGCAAAGCTGTGTCAAACAGTCAGGCAAAATGGATTATACCAGCAAACCTGAGCCAAAATAGTGACTACAAATTAGCTTTCAACACAGAGCTATTGTGCAATGAATTCATATTCCTGTCAAGTGAATGGAGATTTCTTCACATTAGACTTGATATTTTGCACAGTGCAACCAAAAGGTGAACATTTTCCCTTCTATAGATGGATGTAGTGAAGCAATTCGCAATCTACCGCAGCCAAGTTGATATGCTGGGGTTTGCTTCCCATGTCCTAAATTTGCTCAAATGATTGCTTGGTCGAAGGATGTCATGGCGACAATGTTGAGGTAAAGGGGTACAACAATGATACAGAGATATTTTGCAAGAGGGCAAATACATCGGGGCTACCATTCCTAGGTGTGTATTCGCAGACTGACTAGGGAGCATCTTTGCGAGAAAGCACGTTAAAGAAGCAGGCGCAGAAAGACAGACACCATCAGATATAGCACAATGAAGTTCAAAAAGTTTCAAAATAGGCACGCGGCCTCCATCACCCGCCTTTCTCGAAACGACCTGACGATCCTGAGCAGCGTGCTTTACCTGCCTTTGCAAGCCTCGAGCCTGGAAGAAGCACGCCTCTACATCTCGCTCATGAGCGCCACGCTGCCACGGTATCTTTGGCGCTCAAAATTCTGCAGCTTCCTGTGTAAACCGCTACGCCTCCTCCCAACCCCGGGCAAATCATGTCGGTTGCACAGACGGCTGAACCACCACCTCATCGGCTCCATTCTGCACCTGGTCCAGGTCGAGGTTGGCCCACGGCTAGACCGACTGTCCATGCACCGCGCACATTTGACGGTGAAGCAAAGGGTGATGCTCGATTCTCTCCGCGAGATCAACGGCATGTGGATGAGGCCGGCGCAGTTTGAAAAGTCGTTTGGCCTTCCACGAAGCACGGCCTGGAGTTTCCAGGGAGATGGGTGTGAGGCGTGCATGCTCGCCCGGATCCTGCAGAATGCGACGTCGATCATGAACTTGCGCACGGTATTGTTGAGCCGGACACGAACTAGGGGACGCCCAGGGACGCCACCACAATTGATACAATGGGTGGATGTCGGCATGGATTGCCATCCGGAAAAGCGACTGGATATCTTCGTTGAAAGTGCTGATTCTGCCGCAAAGTTGAAGGAGGTGAGGAAGGAGATCAACAAAGGTCGGCGGAGCAGACCACGTTTCATCGTCGACATAGGACCGAAGACACAGATTCCAACAGAGCACAGAGTCAGAGTTGAAACAGAGACAAAGGCAAAGCAGGACGGTTCCCCCAAACTGCTTCCCCCCCGGCCGCCATCAAGCGTATACAGCGACCCGCCTCTTGCCGAGACCGATAGCACTGGCCTGGGAATCGAGATCATCCGTTTGTATCGAAGCGACTCCCAAATCGATAACATGTTGTCTCGAGGTGAGCGCGAGCCGTTACAGCCAGTCTGCCGGTTGGAAACGGAAAGGCTCGAGCAGGAGGGCTCCCCCTCGGCCATTGAAAGCGGCACGTCCGGGGAAGCAGGGCCAAACGATCCCTACTTGAATCGAACTCTTCCGATCGACGTTTTCGCGTCATCGTCGAATAACATGACACGCTCCGATACACCGAAGACCAGTACCGACTGGGCCGATGAATATCAATTGATCCTTAACTCCGACCCGCGAGTTGACATCGCCTCCCAGGGATCGTGGGAAGATGTTCCTGTCGGTGAGCGAGAACAAGGAGTTGAGAAAATGGAATATGGTGCTCCCAATTTCCTATAGCCGTTGATACAAGTTAGAAGCATGGAACATGAACACGGTGCAAGGAAAGTCACAAGACAAAGACCAAAATGTGTAGCATTATTTTTGAAGCCCGATCTTTATGTAGCGTTCAACGCCGAGGTGTAAAAATACAGGGAGAGGGAGCTTAAGAGCGAAGACAAGGGGAAAATATACAAATTAATAATGTAAGGTCTGGCCAAGAAGGGGAGACGATATGCTGTAAGCAAACGGGATATTAAAATGTTTAAAGTGCAAGGAAGAGTCCAGCCAGTACTAGGGGAGGGTGGTAGAAGAGACCACTCGGTTGAAAATGGATGGGAGGAGAACAAGTGAGAATAGGGGTAACTAGAAGCATCAAAGCGTGGATCGAGTTGAGAGAACACCGTCAAGTAGCCCGGATAGAAAGAGTCGCTATGAATTAAAAAGGTGACCAACACAGCGTCAAGAGAAAGGGACAGTAATCGGCTGCGAGAAAACATCAAGTTCATTAAAACTGGAATTCACGACTCGACGCAAAGGAAACCAAAGCTATCTGGTGAAGTTGCGTGGGTCACTTCTGTCGTATGCTACCGTTGAGCCGATGTGACGCCCCTTTAGCGTTTCCGCCGCGACGAAAATGGAGCCGTCTTTTTGCATACACTTTTGGCAAGGATACTGCGTGAGGTAGCCTCGTCCTCGTCCCTTGCCGCTGCTTTGGGCTCGGCCATCACGGGTTCCTCCTTGACTTTGTCCGCATCGACTAGTCGCTGGGCGGCTACACGGGATCGTTCGTAGCGGAGGGTGACATCCCCGCCGGTCCATTTTGTGTTCAGCAGCCGATCCCAGAAAGTGAAGAACGGCTGAGAAAAGTTGGTCTTGATGCCCCAACTTTGATGGTGGATGTCATGGTATGCGGCGTTGTTGGAGGTGATGTGCTGCAGAGGATCGAACGGAAAGGCGTAGCCACAATGGTCGTCAATGGTTTTGATGGTTGAGCAGGTAAAGAACCACATCCCTTGGCGCGAGTTCATTCTGGAGATTAGAAACGCAAGGCCGGTGCCTGCGGTATCTAGCAAGAAGCCCTCAACGGGATGATTGTACAGGGCACCAAAGGCATAAGGGACATAAAGACGGTGGTGCCGGGAATGGAATGTCGCTATTGAGTCCAGTTAGGCGGGGCACGAGTACTTTTTTCAACGGCACGGCTGACTTACTGTAAAGCCACTTGTTCATGTGCATCGCACGATGCAAGAAGTACTGCCAAGTATCCACAAAGAACACGCCAAAAAGGAACTGGCCGGCTGGGACGAGATACCAATATATCGCGCCGGCCACGACGAGCTCCCACCTGGCAAATGCCGGTGCCACGACGACGCTCCCCGTGTCGGACACGATCTTCTGCGTAAGAAAGGAGTATTGGCCGCCGGAGATGGCAGCTGCCAGGGCAGGATAGGCGGACAGCTTGCCAGCTAGACCAGCCGGATTCACGCCGAGGAGCACCAGGAGCCGTGGCAGGGCCCTCTGTGCCAGTCTCACGCGGCGTGCCCAGACAGCCACCTCGTAGTCCTCCTTGCCCGTGTACTCGGTCCCGTCAATGTACGCCATGGCCAAGCCGACGGCGGTCTGGATGATCTGCTGCACGATAACATCTCGGACGACCTCCCAGCGGGTGACGTGGTTGCGCTTGAGGAGCTCTTCGGGGGTGTGGAGGCGGTACTGGGCAAAGTAGTCGTTGACATCGATCCAGTGGAAGAGCATGGAGACCACCCAGTAGGCGATGACGGGCAGAATGAGCACGGCGATGTTGTCGGGGATGGGAGGGACCAGCGGCGCACGGGGGGTCAGGGTGTACGGCGGAAGGGGCGGAAGGCCATCCGCCGCCGTCAGGTTCGCCATTTTCGCCGACAGAGGCCAGCCGTGGGTTGCGAGGGGGTCAGAGGGCCGCGGAATGGGCGAGCGGCGCGGGCGGGATTCGATGAGCGTTCACGGGTAGGATCGCGCACCCATGCAGGCCACGAAGCAGGGAGTAGACGGCGTGAAGCGGGTGGCGACTGAACGAGCAGGCGAGGAGCGATGTACGACGGGCACTGACCGGGAAGCAACGCTGCATCCAGGATGACGGTCTGGACAAAATCACCAACGCATTGCATTCATCCAGAGATCATAAGCAATATAAATCAGTTGATAGCCGTTTTGGGGACGAGGAAAACTGATGGCTGACTAATTGTGGCTGACTAATGGTAGTTCGCTGACAAAGCGAGGAAACAAGCTAGTGCGCTAGCCTCTTTGGACTTAGTGCGTCACGTGTCAACTATAGCGGTCCGATGTAGTTCCAGGCTTGGCAGTCTCAATGGTACGGAAATGGATCCTCACTTTCCTTGGATCATCAATTAAGATCTGTAGAGAAGTGACCTGGAGTAGAGTGATAGCTATCATAATTGAGCCGTGGCTCGTCTGCCTGCTGCCCAAGATACGGTTCTCCCGTTAGTTAGTCATCCATGGTGCAGAGTGCAGCCTGAACCACTCCCTCAGCCACCCACCTCACTAAGTCCGCCCAGATCCCCCGTTAGCGGCGCAACCCAGGCCCCCCCACCAAAAATTCAAAACTCCCGCCTCGAATTCGAATATTTATTCGTCCTCCTCGACCTCGCTGCCCGCCCCTTCACTCCTCCCTCCACCCACACCTTGGTGCCTTTCTCTCCCGCTTGCTCCCCTCTGTCTGCTTCCATAGTGACAACCCTCAATCGTCGTTGAACGCACGTTTCTCACGCCGTCACCATGATCATTTACAAGGTATCTACCCCGCCTCTGACCGCCCTCCGCCCTCTCAGGAGCATCCCCATGGGCTGATCGCGTACATCGCAGGATATCTTCACCGGGGACGAGATCATGTCCGACACCTACAAGCTCATCGACGTTCCCGGTGGCGTGCTCTGGGAGGTCAACTGCAAGAAGTACCCCAAGAGGAACGAGAACTTCGGTGCGTGTGCCCACAGACTTTTGCCCTCCCCCCCCCGAACGCAACACTGACCGCGTGGTGGAATCACAGAGCTCGCTGGCGCCAACCCCTCTGCAGAGGAAGGTGAGGACCAGGGCGGCGATGACGGCCCCACCGTCATGGTCCACGACATCGAAGAGGCCTTCCAGCTTCAGTGGTTAAATGTCGACGAAAGCGGCAACGAGACGAAGCCCTCCAAGGACAACTTCAAATCCCACCTCAAGAGTATGCGGGCCCCGGTGTTGTTCCCCCCCTACGGTGGCTGCTCACTAATTCGCGACCAGGCTATGTCCGACGGGTCAACGAAAAACTGAAGGAGAAGGGCGCCAGCGCCGAGGAGATCAAAGAGTTCCAGACTGGTGCCGCTGCTGCCGTCAAGAAGATCTTGGGCAACTACGACAATTATGATGTCCTCATGGGCGCTTCGATGGACCCCAACGGAATGTGAGTTGTCCCCAATCGCCCAGCCCGACCTCGCTGACACCGGCCAGGCACGTGCTCATTGACTTCCGTGACGATGGCATCACCCCCTATGCCACCATCTGGAAACACGGTCTGGAGGAGATGAAGGTGTAAAGCGCGACGAGTGGAATATGAATGCCTGCTAGCGGACAGTCCTGGACTATATTTGCAATGCCAATACGTCGTGCTTTTCTGTTTCTCCTCCTGTACTGACCAGTGCTACGTATGCCCCCGCCGTGGGGATGAAATCTGCGTTCTGTCCCCGAGAATAATCTACAAGGACTAGGACTGAACAATGTAATGCCCCCTAATCTTCCTGCTCGACAGTCTTGAGTAGGTCTTCCACAGTGAGCCGTGATTGGCCACAGTCGTCTTAGTCATGTCTACGGAAATATAATCCTCCGGATGGCCGTTCCGGCCAATCAGATCCCCCGTATCAACTTGTTGTCTTCTCCGGCTCTCCGTCGCTCTGGTCGATACAGATATCATCGTGTGCTCCAGTCTTAGCGAAAGCAAGCTCGTAGACACTCCCAACCAGCCGCCATGTCCCACGCTCGGGTCGAAGATGCGTCAGACTCTGACCCCGAAGAGATGGACCCCGCCGAGTTCGATCCCCGGTCCATCATCTCCCCGGCCGACATCCCCATGTCTTCCGCCAGCGCCCCGCGACCGTCTCCGCCACTGCCACAGCCCCAGAGGGAAATTCCCCGCCATTTCCAGTGCATCTACCCGATTTACTTCGACGCGACCAGGTCGCGCGCGGAGGGCAGAAAGGTCACCAAGAAGCTCGCCGTCAGGAACCCGCTCGCCAAGGATATCCTCGATGCCGTCCAGCTGCTGGGACTGAACGCCGGGTTTGAACCCGAGAAATTGCATCCAAAGGATTGGGCAAATCCCGGCCGGATACGCGTGCTGTTAAAACACGAGGATGGACGGTTGATCAATGACGGGAGTCAAAAATAGTAACTATATCCCCGGCGGCTTAGGTGGCTGCGAAAGGCCTCCGCGCTGACTCCTCGTGCCCTAGAACATCATCTTTATATTCACATCGCAAACTACCTCCAAGCCCATCCCACAACCGAACAGTCTCCATATCGACTGCGCATCCGAGGCGTTCCCGCCCCCGAGACGCCGCTGCCCCCTCTGCCCGTTCCCAGGGGCTGGGAAAATGGGGAACCATCCTGCCATTCCACTCCCCGGCCTACAGCGGCGGCGGCGTGAGCGACAACCCTTTCAAAGAGGCCATGATGGAGATGCAGGCGCAGCAGGGCATCGCACCCAATGCGGTTGAGCCCAAGAGAAAGAAAGAGAAAAAGAAGGCAAAGGCGTGAGATGGTGCAATGAAGTATTCCTGTAGACATTAGCATTCGCCTGGCGTTTAGAAAAAGGCGTTCCTCTGTTTCAGTGTAGGCATGATACCGCGGAATAAACAATTACTGCTCCCTGTTTGTTCAGACCTAGTGATCCCGCCTGGTTGATTCTCCGTCCAGGGGGGGCAAACCTGAGCAGCGCGCCAAGCATCCATCAAACCGCACGGACAGCGTCAACGAGGCGAACAAGCAAACGAACCCCTCCGTTTCCATCTGCATCCCCATCTCCCGACCCGACCACGATGGCGAGGGCCTTTTGCATGCAGGTCCATTCGTCTCTTGATGCGACCCCGTCTCCCTCAACAACCATCCTTCGTGCCGGCGTTCTCGGCGCTTGAACAACCAACTCCCGAACCGACCTCCTCCCCCAGCATAAATTCGCGATGAGCTACCCCGATGGTTCCCCTCCCCATGCTGCGGAGGGCCTGCTGCTAGGCGGGACGACGGCCAATTCCGTGTCTGGAATACCCACAGAAATCGATGCTTCCCCTCCACATTCAGCCCCGTCGTCGAACCTCTCCGTCGCCAAACCACCCCCCCGCCGGAAACACTACACCATCGGTGGCGGCAAGCAGATCACACGGACCCGCGTCAGCTACTCGTGTCATACCTGCCGCAGGCGTAAGGTCAAGTGCGACAAGGTACGTGGACCGCGCGCCCAGTTCGAAGACACCAGCGACTCTAACCTTGGACACGCAATAGACACATCCCGTCTGCGGAAACTGTCTGAAAAATGGTTCAGAGTGCATTTACGATTCGAGATCGTTATTGCATCAGAACCGCCCGTCTCACGAGCCCCAGAATCGAGTGAAACGTCGCCGAGAAGCGCCCACATCCAGCGAGGCATCCCTGGCAGACATCCTCTCCCCATACACCGGACTTCAGGGCTCCCATGGCAAGGGAGACCAGAAATCGGGATCCGAAGAGATTGCAGTGCGACTTGATCGACTGACGTGCATGATTGAACGGCTGAGTCGGACCAATGGTTCCCTTACCCCGCAGGAAAGTGAGCCTCTATTTCAGGGCGTGCGATCACTGTATGAAGCGTCAGAGCAGGCATCGCCCGAGGTTCGCCAATTTCAAAGGATACCATCGAGCACATCGTCTCGGTCACTATCACGGCAGTCCAGTCCCAGGCGGCCCGCAGAAAATGGCAGCAATGAGGATTTCCCTATTCCTGCCGGCTTGTCGACTGACCTAGTGGATCCCGTCGGTGCATTGAACTTGGGCCACTTAAGTTTAGAGGATGGAGGCAAATCTCGGTATACTATCGTCACCCCAACGCGAAGAATGATGTACGGCTAACATGCTTGGATATACAGTTATGTTGGCACTACGTACTGGGCGTACATATCCGACGAGGTACTTTCCCCGGCCCCTTAACTTCCGCATCCGCATTGGCTAATGTTCGCAGATAAACGAACTGAATCAATTACTACGTGATCAAAGTAGAACGCAGCAGCAACCGTTGGCATCCCCCGAGTCACTTCACGACATAGGAAGCGATCATACCCCGCCATTATCTGCACACTATGATGCTGAGAGTGGCCACAGAAGGATGCGCTCCAAGGACGAGCCCCGAGAATTATTCTCAAGAGATGATTCACCTCTCTCCTCCGACCGACCTATCGAAACTGATATGCTGGAGCATGTGCCAACTAGGTGGCAAAGCAACATTCTGTACAAGGGATTCATGTCCGGCATCCATGCCATCAGCCCGGTTGTCCACCCTCCAACTGTTTTGGCTCTATACCAAGCTTTCTGGGAATGGTACGGAAACCGCGGTCTGACCAGAAATTCATTCCCTGACCCTTCCTTTATCCCACTTCTGTATGCAATTTGGTACGGCGGTTCAGTGACCATTTCTCTCCGGACAATACACTCCGAGTTTGACGTCGAAAACCGTGCGGACTTGTCGGAACGCTTCCATGATGAAGTTACCCGATGGTTAAAGAAAGTTTCCTTTCCCAGAAGCTCGACCCTTCATGGATTGGCAGCATTCTTGCTTGTCCAGACTATCCTCTCCAAGGAAGAGGAGCCTCTAACGAGTAGTTTGTTCATAAGCTTAGCTCTACGCGTCGCCCAGACCATGGGTCTTCACCGGGATCCGGCCCAATTTGGCATTCCGCCCTGTGAAGCAGAAAACCGACGGAGGTTATGGTGGCACATTGTCCATATGGATGGCGTTGTTGCTATGTCCAGTGGATTGCCGCCTTTGGTCAGCGATGAGAATTATTGGGATGTACGCATCACCAGCGACGTCAAGGATACTTTGCTCGGCACCCCGGAAGCAGTCGAGTACGAGCGCGCGGTCAATGAGAGTCGCAGAAAGCCCGATCGGCCAAACAATCCCGATATATGCGGAAACTCACTTGTGAATGTCTACTACATCTGTGCGAAAGGGAAGTACGTCATGGCACGTAAGTTTGGCTCCCTCTCACGCACGTCTTAACCCTTCTGATCGATGTGAAGGTGCTATTCGTAAGGTCCTTAGAATCCAACTTGGCACGAAGCCTGTCACTCGCCAGGACATGGAGGATTTACGATCCATCCTGATGGACCTTCAAGCAAAGCTTCATGCCCTTGTCGACAGAATACCTATTCCGAAAACCGATGCTAGCAGGACAAGTTTGGCATATTCAACGTCGCCAATTGGCTCCACGTCCATCAAACCGGATTTGCCCAACGGCGGGCCTGGGTGCCATGAACAATACCATACTTCAGTCTTGGCCGCTTTTCATAAGTGGGCGAGAATTCTTTTGTCATTATTTGTAGACAAGGTATTTATGTCCGTCGACACTATAGAGTACCTAGCCTTGAAACTAATTGCACAAAGGCGTTTTGTGTCGCATACCAACCCTTCTTGAAAAATGCAAAAAGCAAAATATGGCCCGCTGCTCGTCAGTGGTGAGTCAATCGTTATTCTTGCCATTATAAAGATTGCAACTAAGAATCTCAGTGCTCTTCGCCACTGCCACGGGTTTATGGAGAAATTCATATCGCTTGCCACTGATCCTGACTTTCAACCGTTCCAATGGAGCTGGCCCGGGTGAGTAATCTTTACAGACGTACAGCCTACAAAATCTAATACTTGAATAGAAATCATCAGCCTATGCATGCAACGATGTATGTTGGTACATCCCTGGGTATTTCCGGCTTTAACTAACGCGTTGTAGGATAATGCTTATCGACCTTTATGAGCGCCCAAATACCCCAGAGGCACCAATTTCGCGCGCGTTCATTGATAAAATATTCTCTCTATCCGGGCCCGACGGTGGTGTTGTTGGAGGCGAAGATGGAATCTCCACCGCAAGACCACTAAAAGATGGCGGCCGTGAAGCGTGGGATATGATGCGTCGACTTCGTGAAAAGGCCTGGCAAAAGGCAGGCCTCAATCCCAAAGTATTCTGGACCGAGCAAGCTCAAGTTCAGGCTGGTGTTTCACGGGATTTCACCGCAACGACCTTTTCAACACAGCCGCGGCCTGTTTCATCTGGCACCAAAGAACAGACCTCATCGCCTACCAACTTCGCTGATAGTTACTACGCAATGATCAATCACTCGTACGAAAATCATCAACCCTTACAGAGGCTATCCATGGAAAGGGATAGGCCAAGGGAGTCGTTAAATATTGGAACCTCTCGAGGTGACAATGCCCCGCAACAAGTACCTGCTCTTTGGCCGACAACTGGACCCGGACCGAATGCGACTCCCCAACTATCCGCGGATGCACCCTTGTGGCCTTCAGCGCAACCACTATCTGAGCCAACTGCTTTCAACCCGGGGTACGGCGAGCTCCAAGCTGGTGGATCTGGTGAGAAGGTCGGATTTTCTGACTCTCCAAATGATCACAGCCACCACCATCACAGCACCCACCAGGTCCAAAAGCTGTCTTCTGCTGATAGTCAAAATGCCCATCGTCCTCGCCCCAATCAGGCCATGGGACCACTTTTCGCACCGGGCGTTGCCGGACAAATAGGAAATCAACCCTTCGATCCGAACGTCAATTTTGACTGGGACCAATGGGATGCAGTCTTTGGACAGTATCTACCCGTGGTAGATGGTTTCATGGACCTTGATGTTGAGGACAATAGGGCCCAGAGGCATGGCGAAGTGCCGTTGAGTCGTTTACCCGTGATGAGCGGGGAGCCAGGCCTGGAAGGCTGCACTCAATCTGGAGGAGATATGAGAAACTGGGCAGATTTCGGATGAAAAGCGGAAAAGGGTTGCCAAGGCACAACTGAGTAAGGAGTGATTTTGAAGAACGGCACTCGGTTCGGGGAAGCTCTTGCGAGAGTCAAGGGCCCCGAGAGCTGGATTGGCGGAATAGGGCTACTCAATACCCTAACCGCCCTCCATCGTTGCATATGGCGAGCAAAATAGTTGCCCTCGCCGTCTTCAATCTGGAGGGCACCAAGGCACGGCCGGACGCCTCTCTCTTGGGTAGTGCGAAGTGTTCAACAAGGGCCCAGTGCCTGTTTATACAAATGTACAGTACATACTTTCATGCCTACTATATCCCTCCAGCCGAACATAGAGGTATAGATTCCATAGATGATCCCCGCCTGGATATTAACTTGATTCGCAAAGTCAAACACGGAATTGTAAAAGGCTCAAAGCACCACGCTGTAGAGGTGTCAACAGGGAGGAAACGGTTTTTGGCAGAGCTCCAGCGTTACAGCATCCACGCATGAATAGTTGACTACTCCGTAGTTACCTTAGAGCTTCTTGCGCACATATCGTTGCTAGCCAACAGCACGTCAAAGGATATATAGCTTTGTCTCGACTTCAAGCATCCAATAACAGTTCGTAGCTTCAAGAGTCGACCGCTTGAGTTATGTAAACCGCCATTGACAGGGCCTCCGGCCTCGTATTCTCTCAATTGTGGCCGAATAATCCAGAGTTCACACCAAACATGACGACAAGCGCACGGCGAGACGCGCCTATGGGGGCCAACCTCGGTTCGACAAACGGTGCCTTTTCCCATCGTTCAGTGTCGCCAAAGTCTTCCAGCTTCGACTCACTGTCTATACTGATCTTGCACCCCCCGTTGGCCTGTGATCAAACAAACAGAGACGATGAGCTCCACGACCACGCATTCTGAGCCGAGCAGCTCGGTGCTGCACCGCGATCTCCACACGGTGCCGAAACGAGCTGTGGGAGGAGAGGGAAACTATGTCATTCTCGACGACGGGCAGAGGCTCTTGGACTCTACCGGAGGTGCTGCCGTGAGCTGTCTCGGCCACGGCAACGAGCAGGTGAAGCAGGCTGTTAAGCGGCAAATCGACCAGCTGTCCTACTGTCACAGTCTATTCTTCGCAACAGATGTCTTTGAAGAGCTGGCGGCATTCCTGACGGATTCGACAGGCGGCAAGATGCCCAAGGTGTTTATCGTCAGCTCCGGTAACTACTGAATATCATGCCAGTTGTTTCTCTGTTCGAGGCAGACGGACGAGCCTCACCGCAGTAACTGGTTAACTACAGATCGCTAAGTGCTATGCAAATCACTACAGGCTCCGAAGCCATGGAAGCTGCCATGAAACTGGCACGTCAATACTTCCTCGAGCTTCACGCTCCCCAACCGCAGCGAACCAGATTCATTGCCCGTCAGAACTCTTTCCATGGAGTCACGCTAGGCTCGTTGTCCATGGGAGGCCATGTTTTCCGTCGAGAGTTGTTCGAGCCACTTCTCCTCCAAAACGTCTCTCACGTCTCGCCCTGTAATGCTTACAGGGGGAAGAAGGAGAACGAGTCGGACGAAGATTACGTCGCAAGACTTGCAGCTGAATTAGATGCCGAGTTTCAGAGAGTCGGCCCAGAAACCGTGTGTGCCTTTGTTGCGGAGCCCGTTGTTGGTGCGGTGAGTAGCACCCCTTGACACCCGTCTCAGCCAGATCTAATTCTAGTTTCTAGGCCCTGGGCTGTGTCCCTTCTGTCCCGGGTTATTTCCCTGCCATGAAGGCGGTATGTGACAAATATGGTGCGCTTCTCATCATGGATGAGGTGATGTCGGGAATGGGCCGGTCAGGCACTCTTCACGCCTGGGAACAGGAAGGCGTTGTGCCTGACATCCAAACCGTGGGCAAAGGGCTTGGTGGCGGCTACGCTCCCGTCTCTGGCGTGCTGATTGGAAACAGGGTTGTTGATGTCTTGGATAAAGGGACTGGAGCATTCCGGCACGGTCAGACATATCAGGGCCATCCACTCGGTTGCGCAGCCGCGCTGGCGGTGCAGAAGGTTATCAAAGAGCAGAATCTACTTCAAAATGTGAGAACGATGGGTGCATTACTCGAGTCAAAATTGAAAGAATATATTGGTGACCATCCCAACGTGGGCAATATCAGAGGCAAAGGCTTGTTTTGGGGGGTATGTTTTTATAACTCTAGGCAATGCTTATGATCGATAACTATCCATACTGACAGCCACGTTTCTAGATTGAATTCGTCAAGGACAAAGCCACAAAAGAACCTTTCGATCCTCAGCTTGCTGTTGGTGTTCGGGTTCAGAACACCGCCCTAACACCCAAATACAGCTTCTCCATCTACGCCGGTGGTGGCACCATGGACGGAAAACGGGGCGATCATGTTCTTCTCGCTCCAGCCTATAATGTCACGGAAAACGATATTGAAACAATATCACGGTTGACAGCCGCAGTCATCCAAGACGTGTTCCAAGATATTAATGCCTGAATTTTCATGTTTATTAAAGATCCATTGATATCCAAAATCCTTCCTACCCGCCTCCAGGAAGATTCTCTTGGTCACAACGTCTGTAATTAGTAGTAAGAATGCGCTCATTAATTCTTGGAATATCAGCTTTCGGTCGCCAAATCTATATCCCAACACCACTGGTAATCAAGCCATCTCAGGGAAGCCCAAATCTTCCAGCCAACTCCTAGGTACTCCCGGACCCATTTGTCGTAGAAAGCTATCCTTCGAATTCGACTTTTACAACATTGCCACAACCATCTAAATCAAGCTGCTTTTTTCTCGTAGAATATTTCACTGGGTTGGGCGAGTTGAACATTACGTCAAGTTCTTCGAGCTGTGAAATCAGGGTGATTAGAATTGTTTCCGGCTGAAGCAGAAAAACGTGCGGAACTAGAACTTACAGTGGAATTCTTCGTCTCTGGGATAAAAAAATAGATGACAACGGCTTGGACTGCGCACCAGACGCAGAAGATAATGTATGTATACCACCCAATGTGCTCTAGAGACACGGGCCAGGCAAACTGGTTAAGGAGCATGGCTTCAACGACCGTGGATTAGCGTCGAGGCCAGGAAGAATAGGGATACGGGCACATACCAGCATTAAGAGCCAAGTTTTGAAAAGCCATTCCTTTGGCACGCATCTCGAATGAAAGCACTTCAACGGGATATAATCCCTGCAGCGGCGTGAAGCCAATAGAGAACACCGCACCGAAAATAAAGATAAACGCCAACGTCGCCGTTCCAGCAGCAGGAGAAGTTCCGGGGGAGTCCTTTGTGCCGCCATGTCTTGCAAATTCGGAGCTCGTAATGCAAATACAAAGCCAGACCACGCAACAGCCAATGTTGGCGAACAGTAAGAGGGGGCGACGGCCAACACGGTCAACAAGACTAGCACCGACGAGGGCCCAGATGAATTGTTGGCAAGAGTTGATAAGGATGATGTTGAGTTGGGGAACGGTGCCCGAGATGCCTGCAGATTCAAGTACAGCGGACATAAAGTATGAAAGCACGGCTGGTAGAATTATTCTTGTTAGCAGGATATGGTAGACACAGGCGGTGAGGATATACCGTTGCCAGCCCATTGACCGAATATGACGACACAGCAGCTGCAGAAGATACGGTACCTTGCAACAGCGGTTTTAAACAATGCCGTATAATCCCACCAGCATTTATCTGTGCCGCTCATATTGAGATATTCATCATACTCAGCAAGCTGGAGCTCAACCCATGCGCTCTCTGAATTCCCCTGGCCATGGTATTTGACAAGCATGGCTTTGGCTTTATCCTTCTTGTCGCGGACATAGAGCCATCTCGGAGATTCAGGTATGGCGAAAGAGCAAATAGCAATAATGCCGGAGAAGAGCAATTGGAGCCAGAGAGGTATCCTCCAAGCAGCATGGCCACCGATATCGCTAGCACCACGGGCTACACCACTGGCAAGGATGGAGCCCGTAAACCTAGATTGCAGATTCAACAATGGGCTTTTCTACTATTAAACGCAGAACGTACCAGAATGTGTTCAGGAAGGCAGTCGTTATGCCGCGATATGCTGGATGGGAAACTTCGGTGACATACATTGGGCCAGCCGTCGAGGTGATCGCGACGCCAAATCCCAGGATAAACCGACCGCCCATGAACTGGCCAACATTGCCTCCAGTAACGGTGGAAGAGACGACGGTCCCGAGAATAACGATAGCGGCACCAGTAAACATACCCGCTCGACGCCCCCAGGAATCATTGACGGGCCCGACGAACGGCAGCGCTGCGATACCTCCAATCTGATACATGGACGAAACAATGCCAGCCCAGATGCCCTTGTTTGAACCCTTGAAGTATTCCAAGAATAACTCGTTTGCGGCAATCGAGTTGTATAGAGAGCCGTCATAGCCGTTCATGGTCGAGCACAGGAAGCCCACCAGAGATGCGGCAAAGAGGGCCAGGCTGTTCCACGACCGAGGATTAGGCGGCTCCTTCAGCATCGCCTGGGTGTAAGCGGTGTTCCCTGCGACGTGCACCCGAGTCTGGACGGTGATGGCATGCTAGAGCCGGTCAGCAATGATGCAAGCGATATCTGAGCAGCGGGCAAAACCAACGTCACCAACCACGTCCTTCACGCTGCCCTGGGATTCCGCCATGCTAGAGGGGGACTTGGAGCAAAGGCTGCTGCTTGTGATGCTGCTGGGCTAAAGCGTTGCAGAGGTCGATCCTGCTCCCGGCTTGACGAGGCCTTGAGCGAGGCCGACGGGTTCCTCATCGCCGTATTTAATATAACACAGGCCGTGGAGAGAGACGCTTCTCGCCAAAGTGCCAGGGCAGTCGCATGCATTGCCGCCGCCCAGTGGCTCTTGCGGTCCTGGCTGGCGGCCGTGGCAAGCTCAGCCAAGTGGTGAAGTTAAGAGCAACTAGACTTTGGGCTTGCTTTGCAGCCGAGCGAGAGTCTGAGTCTGCGCTTGATTCCTCATCCAAAGAGTGCCAGCGCCGCGCAGAAGGCCCCTTCATCTCGCGTGTCCAGCACTGGGCCCAGCAGTTCCAACTTCCTGGTCGGCCGCTTGACATCTCTTCTCCACGAGGCTGTCCGGCATGAAACGAAAAAGCAACGGGGACGGGAAAACGGCCCACATGGTCGTGAAATGACAGCAAAGCCGAGCCCAGAGTTCTCCCAGAGGCCCGGGCTGCTGGAGTGTTCGCGCGCATGGCGCTCCTGATGCTGATGCTGGCTGGGATGCGCTAGAATGATCAATGGAAGCGAGATGAGCATGCAGGAAAGGGAATCTGCATTCCCGCATGCTAGATCCGTCCGTTCCTGCACGCCGTCCGTCTATCCGAACGGCTGCCTTTTGGACCTCGCCGCTTGGGAACCGGCTCTGGGCCTGTCCGGTGCGTCCTGCTGAGAATCTGAGACCATGCGAGACCGCATCTGCAAAAAGCGGGAAAGCGAGAGGCCTGAGCATCAATCACAGGCGGCAGAAGCTGCGCACAGCACCCCCGGCTTTGGCACGGGCAAAACACTCAGGCTGCAGTGCATTCCACCAGGGACGGTTGCGCAACGGTGCTGCAGGTTTACTGTTTTGCACGTCGGCAGCGATGGCCACGGATCCCTGCAACCGGCATCACAAGCCTCGTGTCAACCAGCGCCGTTGACGCACGGAATCATCCTCGTTTCTCCGACTGCGAAACGCCCAAGTCCCTACCGATAGGCCGGGTCCCGATTCCGGCGTGTTTCCTTTTCCCAGGATGATATCAAAAACAGGGACCGGGGACCTTTCCTGGTGCCCTTCAAGCTGAAGGATATGCTCGTTGGCGTGCAGCCGAATGCGACTGATGTCCGTGCCTACGGCAGCTGATACAATTCTGCGTTCCATTGCTTCGTCGAGGGTGATCTCGTCGCCCATGTGAGAAGGGTGCGGTGAAACCGGCGTTTATCCTACATGGAAAAGAAACAGCAAGACGTCCCACAGCTTCTTGGATTCTTCACCGAGGTGCTAAGAGGGCAAGACGCATTGTGCTGTAGTTCTAAAATGGTATCATGGAAAGCTATAGTACATACTCCGTACATACAAATCCCCGATCCATCCGCCGCGTGATGCTCCAAAGGCACGTTAAAGCAAGTGATATGCGCCTAGTGACCCGCCCAACAGTCCAACAGCAGCGTATGCTAAGCTAAATGGGAGAGAAATCGTATGCGTGAAGCCCTAACTCCGGTGAAAGCGCCCGCCCCCCCAACAAAGCAACAAATCGATCCAGGCAAAGGCATCAACAACAACAAGGAGCACGGCAAGTTCACATTTTCACAGCCAATACGGGCTTCATTTCCAGTTCGACTCCGACCTCAGCCGCCTCTCCTGCACGAGTCTTTCCATGCACGTCAGCTTTTCGAGGTGAGGCCGCCTTGGAACTCCATAGATCCGCAACAGTCTCGACCGCACGCTCCACCACCACTCGTACCCGGTCTCTTAGCACGGCGTACGGGCACTCAACCTCCAGCGTTTCCAGCCACACGCGGGCGACGTGCTTGTCCACCTTGATCTCAATCCCCGGGACCGGGATGCCGAGCGCCTGCAGCCGGACCAATTCCGCTTCTTCGAGGTCCTCAATGTCTTCATCCTCGTCTGGCTGCCGTTCTGCATCCTGCCCGCTTGCGTCTGGTTCGGATTTGGCGGCCGCGGTTCCATTGGTATGGTGATTGGTAGAGGGTCGGGTAATCTTTGGTCTCTCGATTGGCGCAATATTTGGTCCAAACTGTGCTTCGAGAAGCATCAGCAAACGAGCAAACCGCTCTTCAGGGGTGAGATAGGAATGGGGATTTGGTAGTTCGGGTGCGTGGTGTGCATGATGGTGCTTTTTGCTTGAACCTATGCAACTATCAGTCCTTGTCGATGGAGGAAACAGAAAAAAGGGTCACAACATACGTTTAACAGCGGCTGGACTGCTCTCGACGGTCAAGAGGACCGCCATCACAGCATCCGCAACTCCGTCGTTCATCAAATTGCCCTCCCACTCAAGCTCGATCGCCTTGGTCCTTGGGCTATATTTAAGAATAACGCAGCCCATGATAAGATAGGCGACGGTTTCATCGAAGGGAATTTCCTCGTCCGCTTCTTCCTTTGCAGCGGTCGCGTTGTGGTCCTCCTTGGCTGTGTGGCCGTTGGCGCCCATCTCTCGACGCTGCGTCCCAATTTCTTCTATCGATCCAAAGGTGCCTTCCAGCGCCCACTTGATGAGCTCTATACTAGCTGTTCCTAATGTGATGTGTTGTTTACATGTGATGGTGGTTGTTGTCAAACCAGCATACTCACGCAAGTCTTCTGGTGCCATCATTGATAGCTGAAACCCATTTTGCACAAGCACGCCGTTCATGAGTCGCGAATCGTCGTAGTCTGCAGTGGGAGGTGAGGTTTCTGCAAGCCGACCGACCACTTTGGCAATCTTGTCCACAGTAAACGGAATTCGAATCTCTTCACAATTGGAGGGCGAGTAAATTTTGACCTTGACCGTCTTTTCTGCGTTTAAACTGAGGAGTTTAGATTTGAGCCTCATCATTTGATGCTTTTCACCGTGAACCAGGATCTACTCCAAATTAGAAATCAATTCGATCACACAGTTTGGGCCATATATGACGGAACTTACCACGACGGGTGCAGCGACTGCTTCAATGAATTCACGGTTTTCCACGCCATCTACATGGGCTGCAAAACTAATCTCTTCCACCGTACACCGGCGTGGGATCATGACCTTTTGCTCGTCATCACCGTCGGGTATTCGGCCGCGGCCTAGGCCAATGCCGGTTCTAGCACTCATCACTGCCGGAATCTGCTCGGGTTCATTGAGAATCTGTTTGCCCATGGTTCCCTCCACGCTGTAGCCAGTCATGATGACACCGTTGCGCTCACTGGGGGCCCATCGCTCCAACAGTTCGCGACTAGTTCCGGTCTGCAACATACCAGGAGACGCCAGCATGACGCATCCGCCCACATCGTCGAAGCGCTCCAGATTTCTGACACTTCTCACGAATTTGAAATCCCACGGGCCAGCAGTTGTACTCTTGTCCCCCTTTGCTTCCGCTTCGGCCATGCGCTCCCGGAAAAGCCGTTTGATGTTGTCATTCATAGCTCCAATGTAGGTTTGGTACACGACCATACACCTTCGAGCCATGTTTCCGATATAAAAGATTGGCACCTTCTGCAGGTCCGGGTGCCGGCTCCAGTATTCGTCCAGAATCAGGAGTAACTCTTGCGCCCGTCCCAAGGCGAAGACGGGCATCAATACTCGTCCACCTCGGTTTAGGATACTGGTGACTGACTTCATGAGTGCGGTTTCACGCTCCAGTCGGGGCGGACTGGACGAAATGCCAAAAGTTGATTCGGCGATCAAAACGTCTATTTTAATGCCCTTTGGGACCTCAGCGGAGATGAGATGACGGTCCTCCTCGCGGGAGTAGTCGCCTGTAAATAGGATGTTCAAGCCCGCGATGGAGATGAGAAACATGGCGGCACCCAGCACGTGGCCAGCAGGGAAGGGGGTTATCCGGATGCTGTTGATGGTGTGGGTGGTATTGAAGTCGATGGCTTCGATCAGAGGGAGCGTGGACAGGTGATCCTGTTCGGTGTAGAGCGTGGTTCGCTGGTCGGACGAGGACGAGGTGTTGCTCACTCGGACGTTGTCCTGGATTAGCCATTTGTAGATTGCTTTCGTGGCATGGGTCATGAAGATCCGGCCCTTGAAATTCGTCTTGCTGAGGACGTAGGGGAGGGCGGCGGAGTGGTCCAAATGGAAACTAGCAACAGCATGTATTAGCAGACGATGAAGGCCATGGGCGTGGTCTGGCGAGCGAGCCTTGGAGACAACAAGAGGAATGGCCGGATATCCGACCAGTATACAGATACAAGAAAGGCCCACGATGGAGAAGAATGGGATATAATTTTTTAATTTGATTCTGATATACATGCTCCAGAGATGGCAGGAGAAAGGAGAGACATTTGTAGGCCGGAGCAAAGACGACTTGTCCTCTTGAGCACCCCCAAGGACGCTTCCAATGGGTCCAATACACTCGCATCCACGCTCCAAAACGTAGCATCTGACGGGCAAGAAAACTCGAACAAGTAACGTACTGGCTCACAAGAAGGACATCGACTGTACTGAGGTCGAACTCGTCGAAGAAGGGCAGAGCAGCAAAGCCCTCTTTCGCGGGATGCATGCCGGCGTCGAGCTACCGACAGAGTCAGCACAAGAAACAACAAGCCAGCAAGGGTCCAAGCCACCACGCACCATGACTGTCTTGCCCTTGTACTGGATGATATGGCATGACCGCCCGACTTCGTTCCCGCCGCCGAGACAGTTGAAGAGCAGCTCGTCGGACGGGTCAACGGGCTCGTCATCGTGGCCGGCCGAAAGAGCCGCGGCCTTGCGCTTTGCGGCCATGGCGAGGGGTCAGCGGACTGAGCAGGAAGAGATATGTTGCTCTGATAGATATTCTCAGTTGTATCTTCGCTATATAACTATCTTCGTTGCTCTTCATCTCGAATTCTCGCCTGCTGACATCAGCACATCACGTGTCGCCCTGTCCCAAAACGGACGTCGCGCGTTTTTGCTTCAAAGAGAAACAGAACAAGAGACAAGAGATACAGGAAGACAAGAAGACAAGAAGACAGAGAGCAGAGAACAGAAGACAAAAGACAAAAGACAGAGAATACATCCAGAGCTAACTACTGGTTACATGCCGTGTCCCCCCCGTCTGCGATGAGCGTGCTCGCCAGGCAAGCCTGATGCATGCAGAGCCCACTGCTTGACCGGAGCTCCTCTCCTCACCTCCCCATCATCGCTCACTGAATCCTCGCCTTGACGACTGGCCCTCGCAGCCACAGACATCCCCTAGCTAGGCTGCGCTTGCTGCCGCCGCCAGCCCGCCATGGCGCAGACCCAGTCTCACCAGCTCCCCTCGCAGTCCTCCTTCTCCCCCCCCGCCTCGAGCCCGTCGCCCTCGCCGGTCGTCCCTCCACCGGCCGCCAACAATCTTGGCCCCCCTGCGAAGCGACAGCGTCTCTCTCCCCTGCCACAGCCGCAAGCGCAGCCGCTGTATCCATCGTCCGGCTTCGGCACTTTGCAGCTACCCCAGACCGGAAGTCCCGTCAATGGCGCTCCCCTCAACGCGACGCCAAACCTGATGCCAATCACCGCCCATCCGTCCGCGCCGCCGCCGCCGGGGTCGATGGGCCCTCCCTCGCGACCCGCTGATACGAAACCGACTGATGCTGCAGAGTTAACCGATGTTTTAGCCTCTTCCGGAATCGACGTGCGGGAAGAAGAAGCGTTTCTGACCAGTGGCTATGGCACTACCCCGGCAAATTCTTCTCAACCACCGCGTCCTCAACTCAACACGTCCATCTCCTTCACGTCGCTACCGTCACCAACCGTGTCCGCGGGAAATAGCTTCAATGAATCGTCCTTCAAGCAACCCTCGGTTCCGCCGTCGACTCCTCTAATAGGCACCCAGCCTGCGACCCAGACAAGCCTTGAAGATGCAAAATTGCGAGAGGACACCACCGCCAGTCGACGTGACCAGTACCATCTGCAGGCAGCCTTTCTGCAAACCGCTCCCTTGGGCGAGAGACTACAGAAACAGGGAACCGACCTAGGAGTTCGCATGCCGTCGGCGGGCTTTTTCCGGCCCTTCCCAAATCGTCCCGTAGTTCCGATCGAGGTCGTTGGCCCTGACGGTAATTCAGTAGTTAGGACCGGGAAGCCGGTGTTGACAACAGATGCACCGCTAGGTGACATAATATCATTGGTTTCGTTGGCTTGCGAAGAACGCTTGCGCGCAGTCGTCGAACAGGCTGCCGTCCTTGCAAGGCATCGGCGGACTTACTCTCACGGCGCCGTCCCGCTTGAATGGAGTGACTTGGCCCAAGGAAACAATCAAAAGACAACCGTTGGCGGGCTGGGCGGAGGTATTGCAATCTCCACAAATGGGACTTCCCAAAAGCGTACGTATATCAGTCCAGCATGGAAAGAGTAGACTTGACCTTACTTTGATACTTACGCCTTTCTACAGACCAGGTCTCTACAATGAATGATGCTGCCAGCGACCCTAGAAAGATCACGTTTCCCAACACCCTCGCAATGAAAAGTCGCAGGTTAATTGAAAAAGATGGGTCGTACGAGGAAGGCCGTGCCACGAAGCGAGTCAAGCGCAATACCGATGCAATCCTTAGCGGTGATACTGGCAGGGCAGGCTCCATCGGAGCATCTACTCCCGGTGGAACGACTAGCACCGAACCGGCCGGTGAAAAGGCTCCGGATGTTGAAAAGAAAACCAAAAAGGAGCTGAAAAAGGCCGAGGCCAAAGTCAACGATGCAGTCCAGCATCAGCATGCAGTGGAGACCGCTCGTATGGCGACTGGGGGCCTCAGCACATCGCGATTCGGAGGCAAGAAGACGTACTCGTGGTTGAGTAGCTCAGGCGCCACATCCACCTCTAGGACTAGCTTCTCTACGCCTCGTGCAAAACCAGGAGTCGGATCTGCGGGGCCCAGCTCTGGAAAGCCTGGTGGACTGGTCAATGGAATTCGAGCGCCGCCTGGAAAGCGACTGGGTGAATGGCGCGAAGACAAGGAACGTGGTGCTGGGGTACAGATCCGGGATATCCTCTTCACTCTAGAGATCGACGGCAAGGCTACAAAACATCTCCAAAAAGCGTATTCGAAAGAATCGAAGGAGGAAGTTGATAGAGCCAGCAAATAGCTGAGAGTACATTTGGAGAAAGTCATCACACGGTGATGCCCGACCCAACACCATGACCCCTGAACCAACATGGGTGACGGTTCGGGACGAATTCGCACTTCCTGGACCAACGAGCTTGCAAGAAAGCCGCCCCTTACCCGCCATGGTTATTTTCTTTTGCTCCCGTTTTTGCCTATTCAGGTATTATCAAGACTTGCGTTTGGCGTTCAATCGCTGTGTATTTTTATCCGGGTTTCCGCGGCTTCAGTCATATTCAGATTTATGGGCGATGGAGTTCTACGGCTGGGGTGCAGTGCTTTTATTTACTTGATATTTAATTTGTGAGCTGTTGATGACAATGCTCGTCGTTTGGCTTTTCTTTTTTCCGCCTCTGTCTTGAAAAGGGGAGAGAATAATCGCCGAGCAGCCATATCTCCCCAAAGCGACTCCTGGTGGAATGATTCGAGGCTTCTCGCGTGGACTCACTGCAGACATGTATGTACGCGTCCCGCCATAAAAAGAAATTTGGTGACAACGGCGCCTTTTGAGTCCGTGTCCCGGATATTCCCCGATGTACAGTACACCCATACATAGAAGTACCCCGGGATCTTCTTGCAGTCATGAACTACGGTGTCGCACCAGTAACTCCCCAACGGGTTCCTAGAGCACGTCGTTATTGTTTTGATCGTGCATTGATATCCAACATCGCTACAGACAAGAAACAGCGCCGCCATCGATTCTCTAGGTCCAGCTCCACCGCGTGTTGCGCTCATGCTCCATACACTTTTATTGTATGTGATTTCTCCCAAGTCCATCAGCTTCACTGCCTGATGATTTTGTTCGAGTCATACAGCTACTATGGTGTAGTGGTTACTCGTCGGGTTCCTTTGCTTTTTTCAACAAAGAGAAAGAACCATTTTCCCTCAGATCCTGTACAACACTTGGGTTGCTTCATTGCCATCACAAGCTCTTGCTTTTCAAAGATTGGCTTCTCCAGATACAATTCCCCCGTCGGCGAATGAAAGGTTCAGGGTTACAGTGAATAAACGCCCGGGTGTATCAATATACCAAACCCCGGGTTTCTAGCCGGCGGGAAAGATGTTCGTCGGTTTGGTTCGATATCTGTGCCAAATCTCAGGTCAATATCCGGAACTATCTTCGGGATGCAGGACCAGGGGCATTCCAAATGTTGATCCAAACCTTTCACTTCGACAAGGACTCTGAAGCGCTACACCCCATACTATCTAAGAGTTCGAAGTGATTTTGGTGCTACGATACTGAATGCGTTATCTGCAGTTAATAATCCCATTATCCGGGAAGGTTCTATTGTCTATGTGCTTGTTTTTTCTCAGACAATGGGACCAGGGTCTATTCCCATATGCTCTAGGATATCATTCCCTTCATGTAACCATTCTGACAGCTGGCCATATGTGACACCATCCTGAATGGTGACATCTTGCGGGGCTCAGACTCGATCGAAACCAGCTGTCAGAGGGCCTTCCTGACAAGATACCTGCCTCGAGAGGATCTCGCAACCCCTGCCTCGCTGCCTAAAAGGGGACAAGCCTCGCAACGTTCAATCTTCTCCGTCGCGATTCCTTTCGTATTATCGTGAGGGGATTTGCGAAGAATCCTGACCCTATTGCGGACGAATCAAGGGATATCGCTACGATATAGTATCATGGGGGTTATGGCAAATCCAGTCCCCGAGCTTTGCATCCGCACGGTTTGCCTGCAGCATCTGTCGGTTTGTTGGTTGGAACAATCCGTCCTGCATCTCAAAGGAACCTCTCTTTTCGAATATCCCGGCAGCAATACTGCGTGGTTCGCACGGTCAAGTCGCAGCAGTGCCCCGAGTCAGAATTTATAAATTCCCCCATGGGCCCCGTCCCGAAGCATTGCTCAACCCGCAAAAAGAACAATCAACCAGTTCATCTACTCAGACAATCTTAGCAGCAATACCATATTCACCATGCTCTTTGCTCGTGCTTGTGTCTTCGTTCTCTCAGCCTGTGCCGGCGTGACTCTGGCAGCGCCAGCTCCGGAGCCTGAAGCTCTGTCTGAGCTCAAGGCTCGTGATATGTGAGCCTCCTTTCTTTTCACAGCAGATATAAGCCAGTTTGGCTGTTGACAAGGCGAACAGGCAAGGTAGAGGAACCGTATATCAGCAATTGGGCGCGTTCGGTTCTTGCGGCCAGAAACACGGGGACGGTGATATGATTGTCGCCATCAGCAACTCTTTCATGAAGAGCCGGCACAACTCCCCCTATTGCAGGAAAAGTATCAGAGCTAGAAACAAGTCGAATGGTAAAACCGTCGTCGTTAGAGTTGCAGATACCTGTATGGGCTGTGGGCCGAATGATCTTGATTTCTCGGTTGGCGCATGGAACCGTCTTACTGGCAATGCTCCCTGGGGAACATTCCCCGTCTCTTGGTGAGAGCTTTGGTATACCGTCTTGCGGTACCGATTCCTATACTGACAAACCCCTTTCTAGGAATTGGGCGTAAATAGCTTATCAGCCCGGTTCGCCCTTGGTCGTCTACCAGGTAGCCGTTGCTTTCTGCGCCCTCTACCTGGGAGCCTCAGCGCTTCCCATTCTATCATAACCGATTCATTCGTTTTTCTCGGTTTTGTTTACGTCTGGCTACTTTCTTTCTTTTATTTTTTATTTTTTTTTACACGCGCGGCTGGTCGAGCGATCAGGACATATAACTAGCGGGACTGGGTCCTTTGCAAACTTCAAACAGCAAAACTTTGCCATGGAAGGACTGGTGCCTACACAATCTGCGCCTGAAGATACCGCGCGTTGTTTTTTAGCAAAGTGTTCTTTAGTTGATAAATAAACCCACTCAACGCCATATTCGGCTTAAGAGTATTCGTCGTTAAACAGGTTAAATTCAGGAGAAGAATTTGATATCAGTTATCATCGATCAAGGCGTGTAATATCCTTCTGGAAAAGGGCCTTTGGTATATGGCAGGGGGCATGGTTTCATACATGCCGATGGCGCATCCCCACGCACCAAACAACAATCAAACATATGGACAGATGCAGTCAAAGAAAAAAAAATTATCTAGTCGAAGTTGTTGGAAACACAAAAACAAAGGAAAGGTCAATGAATAGAGAAGCCCGTTTCAATAAATAATAGAAAAATGGAACCCACAACCCTTCATCTACTCTGTGGCACCCTTACGGAAAAGAAAAAAAAGTAATAGGAACAATTGCAAAGTGGACGCAGTGAAAATAAAAAGCCGAGGTACATAACTTCCCCTGACTTCCTACCATGATAACATGAACACATCTCATAAACACCTAAATAAAAAGAATAAAATAAACAAAAGCAATGAAACCCCCTTTCCTGCTCAATACGCTCTGATTGTCTGCATCCATGGAGGTATACAGTAGAGGGGAGCCAAGCGAGAAAAGGGTATCATGTGGGTTTTGTCAGCAGATTCTGACTGTCGTGAATATATGCAAATGTCGCCGGTACATGAGCCATGCAGTAGCGGTTTAAACAGGCTTTAATGCGGTTGCTGGTACGTTTAATTTTCAATACTGCTGAATATAAACCACCGAGTCCGTTGAGATATCAGTTGGAATAAAATCCAGTCGAGTCAATCGGGATAGTGGGTTCATGAACGGCTCCCTCTGTCTCGCATCTGGCCGATGCGAACGGCCTCGGTACCGTCATCGATAATTGACTCCTTGAACCAAGGGTGTTTAAGAGCATCTTTGGCTGAGATTCGTGCAAGTGGATCGTATACAAATATCCGACGCAGAAGATCAAGAAACTGCTTGTTGAAGGAAGTATTGGCGGGAATGAAGTCCTAGAACTCTTTGTTAACCACCATACGCAACGCCAATAACGTGGGAGCAATAAAAGCGTTCCTACCTGCAACTGTCTCATGCCCTTTACGTATTTGCGAGATGCTCGAGGAGTTTCCTGGTTTGGATAATCCAGCCGAGTCCGGTTGAAATACCTAATACTGAATTAGAGCCAGTAGCAAGCTGGGAACATTGTAAAAACTTACTTGGCCGCAGGATTCCCACCGCTCCGTGCTTGCATAACTTGTCTCACCAACTTTGTATCAATCCTGCTTCCACAGACGCTCTCCATCATTGCAAGATGCTCTAGATTATCATGGGTCTGGAAGAGGGCATCGCCGGTGAAGAATTCAACTAGAATACAGCCGATACTCCAAATATCGCAAGGATAGCTCCATCCAAGATTCAGGATGATTTCCGGGGCACGGTAATGACGGGTCGAGACCACGGACGAGTGATATTCGTCATTGAAGGTAGCAGAGCCGAAATCGATCAATCTAATTTCGCTGTCTAGCAGCACCCGTCGCTGACGGGCAGTCCGGCTGGTGTTGTGGGAGGAAGAGGGGATTGTGCGGTTGTAGGTAAAGGTCTGGTAAGTGCTGTTGACCAAGAGGATATTCTCGGGTTTCAAGTCGGTATGGATAAGGTTGACATCGTGGAGGACTAGATACTGCTGTTTAGCGGCTACTTGGGAACGTGATGTAAAATATGGAACAACTCACAGGCAACACTGGTGAATAACTGGCGGGCAAAACTCTGGATTTGGCTACTTGGGAAAGGCACAAATCCGTTGCCCTTGAGGAAATCAAAGACACTTTGGCCAAGTAGATCAGTCACGATACAAATGTGATTTCGGAAATCGAAACAATCTCGGAGATGGATGCACTTGTTGCGGTTGGTCGTGTCGTTCGACGCCAACGTGGACAGGACCCGCAGCTCAATGCGGGAAGCGTCGCGATATTTTTGAACAGACCGAATAATCTTCACCGCACAACGGGTCTTCTTTTGCCTATCAAACGCTTCGACGACTTTTCCAAAAGTTCCTTGGCCAAGCAACTTGATGATGGTGTCTAAGGAGAGAGGACTGGGTTAGAACTGGCCAGTGATGAGAGGAAAGAAAGGATATAAAGAATGCTAAAGCTTACATCGATCAGTCAAATTCGTGTCTGGGTTCACGATATAATGACCGTCATCATCATCAACTTTTGAATGCTTGGTGAAGTGTGGCTAAAATGCTGTCAGCACGCCCCACTCAGGAAGAAGCGAGAATTGATATTGACTCACATCGCGGATCACGGGCACATAGACGTCTTTGGCTTTGATCGGAGGACGCGGCGGCGGAACGTAATTGTCGAACGCATCGCCTGCGATTTCCAATTCCCGTCGTTTCTGTTCATCGCGAGCGGCCTTGCGTGTGACGACTCGCTTTCGCTTTTGTCCAATAGCCGCATCTTCGTAGTACACGCCATTGGTCGATGCACTGCCATGAGACCCCAGGGATGTCGGCGCTGTGGTGTGGAGCGACGCCGTTCGATCTGTCGAGAGCGAAGGCCCCGAGGAGCCTTCCGCATACGGCTGCACGGCCACGGGGAAGGACGCGGGGTCATGATATGCAACGTCATATGTTGTCTCTGCACCGGTGCGCCTTTTCTTCGTTGCCGGTGGTGCGGCCACGCCGTTACCGTAGGAGGCCAGTGAAGAGGGCTTCACCGTGGAGGAGGTATAGACGGAGTTGTTCGAGGAGACGTTTTGAGGGTCTTCATCGTCGTCATCGATGACGATGATCTCCTTGGGGACTCCGTTTTTGTAGAACTCGTTCCAGTTGGGCTTTCTCCGGCGACTCTGAGCCGTGGGGAGGATGGCAGATGTCTGATACGTTGCCATGGGCGGCTGAGCCTGGGAGGACTTGGAAGCAGCGGAGGCGGAGGACAGAGCGGCGGGGTGATTCACAGAGGGATAGTGGTAGTTTGCAGCGCGGGCTGCTCCCACCGCAGGGGCCGCAGGATACGGCGTAGTGTTGGCGTGAAAGGTTTGGTGAGGATAGCGGTAGTGTGGATGGTTTGTGGGATGGGTGGCAGTGGCTGTTGAGGGAGTCGACATGACGAGGCCCAAAGGCCAGGCAAGGGCCGCTCAAGAATGCGTAGCAAAGGTGTCTTTTCGGTGAAAACTGAAGATTAAGAGGGCTCCCCTTGATGGCAAAAGCGACGATTCGCCCAGCTCAGGCGTTCACCAGGGCAGCCAGCGCCGGCACAGGCGGGAATCGAGGGTCAAGAGAGATCGAGCGTGGTGCGGTCGAGGGCTTCAGCCTGGGGAAAGGAACCCAGGCAGGCAGGGCAGAGGATGCGTTTTCTCACGCCAGTAGCAGCAGACTCTCGCGAGGGAGCGTGGTGATCGATGGGCAGCCGATGGCGAGCAGCCCGCCAGGAAGAATCAGGACACAGGCTTCAGATGTGGGGGACGGGCAGTCGATCGAGCATTGTGAGGCCAGAGACAGACTGCAGTGTTCATTGGAATGCAGATGCAGGCAGAGAAGACGCGGTCACCGGCACAGAGGCGCAGGAGGCGACGGGCGATGGGATTGCGAGCGACGACGAGGAGGAAAAGTCTGAGATGGTCGTCGATGGAAGAGCGATGGACCCGGCCAGCAACCAAGCCCGCGACCAGGGGGACCAAACCGTGGGAGGCAAAAAACACAAGACAACGTCTTCAATTGGAATAATGATAGACAGATAGCCTGCTGTCTCAATCAGCCGGATGTCCGCTCTTCTGTTCTCGACACGGTGATTTATATATCCTTGAGGCCACATCCCGCCGTCAACACACTCTTCAAGCTGAGATTCTGAGATATCCCTCACACAAAGGGATCATCTCTTCTGCCTCGCCGTGTTCACGTCCAAACCCACGGTTCTACACAATTCATTGCCACTCACTCACCCGTGCACCTGAATATGTATATAAGATCGGCCTGCAAAGTATCCTGAAAATATCCCCTACGGCTGATATATGCTGAAGTCCCGGCCTCAGCAGACTACTTTTTTTTCAGTGAAAGATGCTCATAAAGACATAGTATCTGGCCTGTAGATGTGTAGAATCTATCGCGGCACCGAGCCACATGTAGAGCATACCACTGAAAGCAAACCGCCCACCCTGCAAATATTGCGCAAAGCTGTCCAACTCTAGTGCAAAAGAAACAAGAAAGACAAAGGCCGAGTCGAAAGATCTCGTATCCAAGAGGCAGCCCCAGCAACGCCATGCTGGAATCCAAGGGTTTCTATATACATACGTAGCATATCAGCCGCGTAGTTACCTGAGAACTCGTTTTTAAATAAAAAACTGAATAAAAAAGAATAAAAGACGGTGAAATAAGACTGTCTCACGGCCCTCAAAACTAGATTCCCCGATTGAACTCGACTAGTCCGTCTTTGCCTCCACGGCCCCAGAATTCCTCCTCGAGCTTGGAAGCACTGATGGCCTGTCGCTGCGGAAACGCACCCAGCGCAAGTGGAAGCGCAAACACGGAGGTCGCAAAGATCAATCCTAGAACGCAGGGTCAGCCATCCTGATTCATTCCTATCCACACCTGATCTGAACTAGTGATTGCCGTACCTAGATTCACCGGGAGAACGAGACGCGGCCGCGACTTGAGCCAATCCATCTTCTGTAATCGGACCAGCAGCAGCGGCGGGAGGACCATGATCGGGGTGGCATTGAGCACACGGCTGATTGCAGTCTCTCCAACCGCGAGCGTTGCGGCCTTTTTACTCTTTCCAAGGCTTTGAACCTCGCCGCCATCGACCTCGCCTTTTGCCCTCTCCTCGTCCGTAGGCTGCGGATACACATCGATGCCCTTGCGTATCTCCTCTCCACGCATAAGAAACACATTCAGGGCACCGGCAGTAGCAACAGCAGCAAACGGAACCAGTCTCCCAAGAATCAACCTGGTATGCGGCGTGAGCTTCCGCAGCCGGGGCACGACCGCATTCAAGCCCAGGGCGACCGAGCACGAGGCGGAAACGGCAAGGAAATACGATTTAACTATTGACGCAGTGGAAAGGGGCGTGGATTTGTTTGCGTTGGCATTGTTGATCGCGACATTGAGTGATTGGTTGGTGATTTGCCAGAGCAGGGTTCCCGTTGTCTGGCCGAGGTTAGCGACCAAAGCTTCAACTGGATCATGCAGGGGGGGAAGAAGGGCCCATGTCGGCAGACGCACCCCAAGTCCAGGTGTCAGCATGCCAGCTGTCACAATTAAATTGGAGAGCACAAAGCAAGACATCCGAAACGGAAGAAAGACTGGTTCGCCAGTGTCTATACGAAAGTGTTTCCGGTCAGCACCGTGTTGCTTTTTTCCCCCCCCCGAGTCGAACGGTCACGTACCCGGGTGCAGTGTCGAGTCCACGATCTTCTTCGCATGCCAGATCTCTGGCGTCATGGCCGCAATCTGGCCATCTTTGTACGAGGCAAGGAGTCGCTTCGCATTTTCCAGTCCGGCAGCGGATACAAAGAGCGTTCTATGAAGATTGGCGACACGGAAACAAGGCTTAGCGTGGTGATGACTTGACTGCTCCTCTACAAAAGCGACAGGCGTGCGATAGGCAAACACAAGGGGGAAAGCCCGCTACGAACGGATTATGATTGTCACGCCGTGGGCTCGATAGACGTACCTTGGGTCTGAGATTTCTGCAGCCTGCTTGACTCTTCCCCAGTACGTGCTGAGGTCATGCTTCGACACGGGGAGGTCCCGGCTTCCAGACATCGAGGCGGCCATTGAGCATGGGCGTATGCCGACGTGAGATTCTTCGAAGAAGCAGATTCGCAAAGAAACAGAGCCACGCAGGCGAACGAAAGTGGACAGCCGGGCGGGGAGCTTTTATTATATTCCCGTTAGAAAGAATGAAGCCAGCCGACCGGCCAAAAAGAAGCAAAAAAGCACACAGAAGCGCACCCGCAACAAGCAGCGCAAAAATGATATGAGAAGCAATTGGAAGCCCGTTTATCGTCGGCTGGTGGTGGTGGCTGGCCGAAAACGGCAACCCGCCGGGCTGCTTATGTAAGGTTTTGCCGAGCGCGATCTCGGAGGCGGTGAGTGTGGCGCTAGGCCTAATGCGGGGCGCTAAAAGGCTTGTCTCGCCAAGCCCGCTATTCCCAGTCGAGCTAAATATGCAAACATGCAATCATTAGTCATCACAGCATTGCTTATGTAAAGTCTTAAGTGGACGGCTTGAAGCATCTTGATATTGATAGACTGATAGTCGAGCAAACGAGGCGAATCCCATTGAGCAAGTCGTAAGCCTCCGATGAGGGCCATGCTAGACTTTGTACTCTAGTTTTGCATTTATATCACAGGATCGTGATGATATCTTTGTGACGGTGGCTTCAGTCGATGAGGATTACGTCAAATATATCTGAGAGGCGAAATCCATGCAAACTCACCTTTGTCTACTTTGCAGATGATCTGTTACGGCCCTGTTGGCATCCATGAAGCGAAAAGCAGTGAAGCTTGGTCGACTGGTGTTGGCCCTGACGATTAAAGCAAGCTCCCCCCAAAGCGGATTTAGAGAGCTCCTTTCATTCATCCGTTTTCAGTCAATTCGCAGCACCATTTACCGTGGGCTTGGTGTGCTTTTCAATGTGTGGTGTCGCGGGCTCCATTTGGAAGTGTAGGAGCATCCATCCCAAGGCATGATAGCAGTCGGGGGCCGCAAAGTAACTCCAATGGAACAAAAATCATCAAAGACGGTGTTTTAGGTTTCTCGAATCTGGCTTCATGAGTCGGCCCTTGTCTCTTGTGCGTCATCTTCTCCTGGGAGAAGGGGGAGATCATGGTGCCGAGCGGCTTTTCCCACGCCTCTGCTCGTGTCGATGATCGTCAGAGGTGATGACACGGACATGGCTGTGAAAGAGGCAGCTTGGGAGCGGACAGGCGCATCAAGAGCCCGTCCATCTTATGCCGTAGTTAGCAACTATCTCTTTCCAGCCAGGACGCTGGAGTAACTCATTAGTTGTTGCAGCCCTTGATTCATCTTCTTTGTCCGAGTCGCCGAGGTGGTTCGACGGGGGGGGCCGGTTGTCCCATGGTTCAGCGGAAGGCTAGAGGATTTTATTTTAAGCATACGGGCAGACGAGAAGAGTTTTGGCTTGTCAAAGTGGAAAAAGGTAAACACGCGCAGGTGTTGGAGACTGTGATCTCGCTTCCTGATATCTGCATCTTGATCGAGACACTCGGTTGATGGTTGAAGGCAGAAACAAGGGCACAAGGGAACAAGACCATCGCTTGTCACCGTGTTGAAGAAAAAAAAGGGAAAAAAACCACTTCATCTCTCCCACACGAGTCCAGCTGCTGCTGCTGCTGCTGCTGCTGCTGCTTCATCTTCCTGCTACAATAACTAACTAGCCTCTGCGGCCCTCGCCCAAGGCACCGACCGACTAGCTGCATCGTGCTCCCTGCTGCCTGCTGCGAGTCCACCATTGACTGCCAGCCTCAACCCAACGCCCTCTGCCGTCCGTCACATCCTCGACCCTCCACCGAAAAAGCAACAAGGCCGCTCCCGTATATATCTCTCCCCCTTCTGCTGCCTGCTCTCTTCCCCTCTGCCTCGCAGCCTCGATGGTTTGCTCTTCTCTCTGCTCTAACCAGCCCGCACCTTGAACAGCTCGCACCGTCACACCCCATGTTCGCCAGAGCACGCCCGCTGATATGAATTGGGATCACCCAATCCACAGGTGTGTGTCTCCTCTGTCTGCCAGGCCAGCTAACGCTCCTGATCGCTGATGTGCTCTACTACCTAGTTTCACGGATCCCAATGTCGAACCTCAGACCCCCACAAGAACGCCCACCATCAGCTCCCTGGACGACACTGCCTTCCAAACGCCAAAGTTCGAGTCGAGCTTCTATGATCCTCGCGTGACATGGGACACCGCCGACCCTTACGCCTCGAGCCCCGAACTCACCAGGTCTGCCCACCGTTTCGATCAAACCCCCGGCCAAAGGGTCCAGAGCCCGGGCGATGGCACGATCTCGAGGCACAGGCCGGTAGACATTGGCAGGGCGGACAGCAATTTTACGACTCATAGCGCTGGCTTTGCGGATTCAGTCGGCTCCGCAAAACGGTCTGCTGCATCAATGCAGACACCGCCGCCCACAAGTACCGTTCGGAGGAAAGCTCAGGACCGGAATAGCACCAACTTGGATCTGAGTACCCCCATACAGCCAACCTACTCTGCTCAGCCGCTAGAAACACCCAGCCGCGTGATTGGTTTCTCTCCTGGCATCTTCGGCCTGCAGGGCTCTCCTGATTTTTTTACCATGTCCGGGAATTTGGCAACGGCTTCTCCTTATTTCTCCCGCCAGATGCCATGGGGCCATGAGGGTACCGGTTCTCAAGGTGCGGTGGGCATGTCACCGACATATGGCGGTTCATTCAATCTACCTGCCTCTTCGCCCCCAGGCCTTTTCGATGCCAGTCGCGTGGAAAGCACAAACTTAGGCACGTCCCTTCTGCCAGTAGTTCATGAACCGAATGGATTTAATGCTCGTTCAATGGCACATGATGCTTGCGGCCTGGAGGCAAGCCATGCCACTCTGCATAGTTCAATAGCCACATCTCCACGGGTGCCTCCCGTACACAGTGAAGACCCGTCCATGTTTCTGAGTTCTCCTGCACGACGGTTTGGCTATTCGGAGCAAACTCTCTCCCCGCCACCTCGTCCTAGAGTAGAAACGCGGCAACCATACCATTACCAAACAGAGTTATCGGAGCGTGAAAAGACTCAAGAATTAAAGAAACTACATCGCTCCAAGAGCTCAAGTCGACGGCAAAAGGTCTCCCGCGTTGAGAGCGCATCCTATGCACCACAGACAGCGGCGGGGAAGCCGGCCGTGAAGAGAAGCGTTACTCATTCTGGAGTTCCATCTTTGTCTAATAGTCGGCCCCAACGGCAAACCTCATTTCAAGCAGCGGTCCCGGTAATTGGCGGCGGTGGTGTCCAAGAAGACTCCATCCAAAGGCCGTTCCTCGCCTTTGAAACCACATCTCTCTCCGCTCTCTCACTCCCCTACGGTTTCTTTGCCGGCTCCAATGGAATCGTTGGTCCTGAAGATATCCCAAGGATGGACTGGCCACTACAGAAATGAAACTCATCTCAGATTCACCGACCCGGATACATCCCGAGATTCAAGGAACAGTTTCCGGAGAATCATCAACTGAAATCGAATCAGACTCATCAGACGACGAACCCAGCCTATTCGGCTGTTCACAGTCAAAATCCGTCCTTTGCGTTTCCAGATAGTATGCCTCGTAGGCCTGATTTTGTCAGGGCCCAGTCGACCTCCCGGCCACATTCAAAAGGTTCATCATATTCCTCAACCGCTGCGTCCACCCATTCCGGAAGACATTCTCCCTGGACGGGATCAACGCATTCCAGACAATCACAGCCCTCATCCCAGCACGAATATCGCCATCAAAAGAAACATCCAACGCAAGCCGCAACTCACCATTCGCGAAACCATTCCATGACCGACTCAGACGTGATGTACGACGAGGATGGCACTGGAGATGCCCAGCATGCCCTCATGCAGGTTCTCAAGGATAGAAAACGTCAGTCGCGACAGCCAACAACAGCGAAGCAGTCGGCTACCGTATCGCGCCCGTCCACAATGTCAACACTTCGATCTTCTCCGCCATATAGCGCTCGTTCGCTGTCTCGCCCGACCAGTAGCAATTCACCGACGATCACGGACGCCGGTCCCCCGACTCCCGCCATCGATCGCCAAAATAACCCTAGCACTGGCACAAGGTGCGTGTGCAACTCGATGAACAATGGTGGACATTTGATGATCCAATGGTAGCCATTACCCTTTCAAACCCCTTAGCCATACCTGCTGCTAATCTTAGTTCAGTGAGTCGTGTGCACACTGGCTTCATACAAAGTGCGTTGGCTTAGATCGACAAAAACTGCCCCCCGTTTATATCTGCGTATATTGCACTCAAACACCCAGCCGGGGGTCAGGATTTCGTGAACCATTCACCAGCGTTGGGAGTTCCTCACCGTTGGCGCGTAAATCGTATGGAGGCAGGTAAACAGCACACAACGCTAGATCTCAGGATAAATTCTAATGCTTTATCCCGGTTGGGACTGGTTTACATCTCTTTGTCCAATTTATCAGATAGGCCATGATTCTATCGAAACTCAGATGCGGATTTCTTTTGTCCGATTTTCCTTGCTCCCCTTCTCTTTTAAATACCACCTGATATACCCATTTTTCCTCCGCCCTTACCCTACCTAGCGAGTTTTGCTCTAGCCTTTCCTCGTCATCCATGTCATTGATATGTGCTTCGCTTGCCTGAGCCTTCGTAAATAGTGGCGACCTTTTATTCCCCTTGAAGACGTTCCCGCTCGACGCGGTTTCATTAACCTCTGATTTGATCCCCTTAGAAAAGCTAACCCGAAACCCCAAAGACACTAATGCTACATCCCAGCCCTTTTTTCTTCTCCGCTTCTGAACCTCGAATCGCGATTAAATATCACGGTCCTAGCGCTTTGATAATCGTTAGTTAACCAGGCACTTTTTCCTGTGCTTTTATCTACGTGGATGTCATTGAAGCTGGAATAGCATGTCCCTCAAATAGAAATATTAAAACCCTCGAATCTTAAGCAAAGCGCTTTCCCTTGGCCGTGCAGTAAATTCCATTGTATTTGGTTTGGCTATTTCTAAAGCAAATCACCCGAATTACTCTTCATTCATCAGCATTTACTTTCCGCGCCTTCTATCCAGCTCTTTTCCCCAGGAACCATCCCAAGCAATTCCCCTTAGGTTTCCTTATTCCCTTCTCGAAAATTATTCTGGACAAATTTGCTCAATGCTGCAACCTTCTTGCTCAAATCTGAAATACTTCCCTCAGCCATGATTTCAATAAGAGGCAATTCCGCCCCCAGCTCCTTCGACAGCCATGTTCGGAACTCCATGGCAATGAGTGAATCAACACCATTAGCTCGAATCGATCTGCTGGAATCAATCTGGTCGGCGGCCACGTTCAGTAGTACAGACAGTTTTCTGTGAATACCACTGGTGACGACCTCAGCGGCTTCTTCACGACTTTTCGCTGTGGCGAGGAGGGCTTGGACATGGTATATTTGAGTGTCACCGGACCCTTGGTCGCCCGACGTGATTGTGTTGCGAAGGATTGTGAAAGTTGGATAACTGAAGCATTCTGGAGGAGGCATGCCGCGCTCTTGGAAGGATCTGATGGTGCCTAGGCCGAAGATGACCTGGCAAGTGGACTCGGTTAGAGGGTAGCGAGGGTCAATGAGGTATTCCACCATTGCATGAACCTCGTCTTCACGCATCGACCCGATTGTCCTGGAGACGTGACGGGTATAGTCCTTGTTTTCAGCTACGAATCCAACGGTTAAGACGCTCCCAAGGTCCAGGCTGGCTGCTCGCATGCCCTTTGCATTAAGTGATCGAGCGAGAGCATCCTGATAGGTGTTTCCGGCAGCGTAGTTTGCCTGACTCCTACCCCCCATGATTCCGCCTACGGAAGAGAGCATGAGGAAGAAATCAAGGTCCTTGGGCAAACATTCATAGAGGTTTAGAGAACCTTGCACCTTTGGTCTCGTTGTGGTGGTCCAGTTATCGTAGGACATATTCTCAAAGGCGGCGTCCTAGAGTTTGTCAGCTTCTGAGATAATATGAAGTTGGTGCCTGGATTTCGCCTTACTCTTAGAGCCATAGAGCCTTGGATGCATCCTCTGATCGGGGGCAGGCTCTGTTGGCACTCTTCAACCACGACACGCATTCTCTCAATGTCAGAAACGTCGCATTTGAAGATCTTCACTTGACACTCTTTGCCCTCAAGTGCCGTAATCATCTCCTCGACTGGTTTCGTGATATTGCCAGAACGGGAGAGGAAAACCAAATGCTTTGCACCACGAGAGACCATCCATTGTGCCAAACTCCTTCCAATGCCTCCAAGGCCACCGGCAAGCACGTAAGATGCATTAGGGTCGAATTTGAATGGAGGCGGGATCTCCGGAACCACAGGCACAACGTCTTCCGCATTCGGTGTGAAGACAATCTTACCAGTGTGCTTTCCAGACTGCAACATGCGCAAGCCGTCTTCCACTTGAGCGTAGCTCAAGACTGTGTTCGGTCGAGCGCCGGTAATCTTTCTTTCTCCCCACAGGTCCATTGTTCTTTGAAGTACTTGCTGAACAACCTTTGGCTTATGCTCCGCCAAAGCAAGCAAATCCACCCCAGCAAACATAATGTTGTGGACAAAGGGCGACATATCAATCTTACCACCTGCAACCAGGTCCTTCTTACCAATCTCAATAAATCGGCCAAAAGGCGCAACGCACTCCCAAGATCGACGAAGTGCTTCCCGGGAAAGCGAGTTCAAAACCACGTCCACACCGACGTTGCCAGTCAGCCTCATAATACCCTTAGCGAAACTGAAATCGCGACTAGAGAAAATATGATCTTCAGCAATATTGTATTCTTTCATGATAAACTCCTTTTTCTCGACAGTTGAAACGGTTGCGAAGATCTCAGCACCGACTGCTTTGGCATATTGGATGGCAGCTTGCCCAACACCACCGGCAGCAGAGTGAATAAGGATTCTCTCGCCCTCGGCTAATCTGCCGACATTCTCTAAGCCGTAAATGACGGTTGCATAGACGATCGGCAGTCCAGCCGCAACTTCAAAACTCATGTTATTTGGAATTCTTGCCACAACGTCTTGATTTACGCGGCCATACGTCTGGAAGGTACCCTTCTTTGGGGAGTCGACAATGTATACCACACGATCACCAGGTTGAAGCCAGCTAACTGCCGGCCCAACTCTGGTTATAATTCCGGCTGCCTCTCGTCCGACAACGTCCCAGGGCAATTCCCCCATCACCGTTAGGAGGTCGACAAAATTGAGCCCAACAGCACGAATATCAATTTCAACCTCAGCCTCCCCGAGGGGTTGAGACGAAGAAGTATCGGTGACCCATTGCAATTTATTTAGCAGGCCTGGCGCGGCATTTTCAAGTTTAACGGGGCGTCCAACGTCCTTCCAGGTTATCGGCTCTGGAGCAGGTGCCGTAAATTGTCTGGCTAAGAAATTGGTAGCCGCAGCATAATCAACGATACGGTTTGTGTGAATCATATTGTTTTGCACATAGTACTCCGCATTTGCGTGTTCAGTTTGACCGGTTAGAAATTGATAACGAAACACCTTGGAAATGGAATGCGCGAGGGCGTTGCTAGGCACAGAGCCAAAGTCTGCAACAGCAAGAGTCGTAAAATCCACGGTTTCAGCGTCACGCTCCCATCGAACTGTACGTAATAGACCATTGACCATATTGAACGCCGGCTCTGAACGTGAATCACCAGTCACCCACAACAACCTTTTGCAGGTGGATAAAAAACGCTGGAAGGTCGTAAACTCATCTTCGGAGAGTGAAAATAGAACGGGATCTTGAAGTTCTAGCAGAGAAATGCAAAACGCATTGGTGACATCCTTGTTCTCCAAATCGCATGGCTGCAGCACAAGACAATTGCTAATCCCAAAGTGACTTGCAATTTCAGTTTTGATGCTCGAAATAAGCTCGGTCTCGCGCTCGGAAACATGGCAAAGAATGATAAGTTCGCTGTTAGCGTTTGGAATCCCTTTCGAAGTATTTTCCGCAGTCGTAACCATCGTGCTCACATTCGCAAGGTCAAGATAATGTGAGCTAGGTATATTGATATCCAGACCAGAGAAACCTGCGTCTCGAAGGAAACCATCCCATTCGGGCACAGTGATGTAAGGACACCATTTACGGACGGGGTCGGTCGATAGCCACCAACCCGGAAGCTGCCCAAAAACAAGTGAAACCCAGTGAATATCTGGCCGGACACCCTCTTGAATCAAGAACTTGCCTCCAGGCTTAAGTAGCAAGCGCGCGTGTTCAAGTGTCTTCTTCAAATCAGGTGTGGCGTGGAGCACGTTGTTGGCAACGATAATATCGTATTTTGCGGCATCAAAGCCCTGGGCCAGAGGGTCGCTTCCAATATCTAGCTTCTGGAAGTTAAGGAGGTCTTTCCACGGCTCAAGTCTGTCCTTTGCTTTGGAAAAGAAACTAGGTGAAATGTCCGTAAATGTATACCGTGCGATCTTGCCTGGGTTTCCGGCATCATCTTCAGCTCCAGATCTTGGACAAAGCAAGTTCAACATCAACTTCGTGAAGCTTCCAGTACCGGAACCAATTTCTAGAACTTCAAGACCGTTGAAATTATCGGAAATCATAGATATATACTTTTGCACAGTCTCGAGGCCGTCATTTAGCAATATAACTTCCTCATAATGGCGGGCTAACAGGTCATCCTGGCCGAACATAAGATATAGCGGATCAACTTCCTGTCTAACGACCGATGCAATCTGAGATCCCAAGCGGATGAGGATCTGTCCATCCGTATCGTAATCTGTCATCAGGGACCGATAGAGTTCCTCTTTTAGGTCCTTGTTCTCGGAATATTTCTCAAACAGCTCCAAAGGAACGTGGAGCAGAGACCCAGAGGTAAGTTCGGCAACAACACGTTCCATCCAGTCAAAATATATCTTGAGGTGGCCGTCAAGCGGCTGGGCGGGAGGGTTTTCCTTGAGGTCTGCAAGCCCGTCTGTGATGAGGAGAATGGTGGCAAGCTGTAGATTGACAGCGGCATCTAGCTGTTTTTCGCGAGGCGTTTTCGCAATGACCGGGGCTGAATCAAGGAATTCCGGAGTCTCTAGCACATTAACGGCGGGCTTCCACTCGAGGCCGTAACCAATCTGGGTATTGCGTTGAGAAGAATTCTCCGATGTGAGGGGTGTAAATCGGACCCCCGAAAGCAAGATGCGCGGCTCGTTATTTACCAAGTCCCAGCATTTAGAGCTATAATCGTAGGATTCATATGCCGCTACAGACACTTGGCCGTAGCAGCGGAACCTTGCCCCTTCCTGAGAGCTGATGCCGGTTGAAACCCAGGCTTCCTTGATAAATGTTGGCACCACCGGCCGTTTTAACACTGCCTGGCCGATGTTGTCACAAACAGCAATAAGACCGGCAACGAGTGTGTTATCCAATGTTGTAGGATGGATGACATGTGGGTGGACATATCCTTTAGGCATCACGGACCTGAGATCTGGGACTTTCATTTCGCCCAACACGGTTCCTTTTCCTTGTCCACTGACAGCCACGTTCGATAAATTTCTAAATAAAGGTCCGTACTTCATGCCGATTGTCTCCAGGTTTTCATAGAGCTTTCCAGCATCCATTGGAGCTTGGCAGGTTTCCATAGCTTGATCCAGAGCATCCTGCCATGCTTGTTTCGCTGCCAAACCCTCCTGGCCGTTCCCAACAAGGTCGGGAGCAGAGGCTTGGTACTCGAGAGCAACGTAACCCGAGCAATGTTCAACCCAATCATTAAAAGAAGGGATATAAGAGGATAGCTGGAAAAACTTCCAAACCGTAGAAGTCCACTGGTTGGACTCGTTGACAGGAAGAACGGACAGAGACACTTCAACACCCGCATTCGTGTCCGGAATTACCAGCGCTGACTTGATGCTCACATCTTTAAATCTGATTCCGGTTACGTGCACCGCCTCGCCTGCAGTTTGCTTGACTGCTTCGAGTGCCATAACCAAATAGCCAGCTCCAGGAAAGATAACATTATCCGTAACCTGTAGTCAACCGTTAATACCCGGTGAGCGATATCGAAAAGGGGTCAGAACATACCACATGGTCCTTTAACCAAGGGTTTTCAGAAAGCCTGAAGTACTGTCTCCATTTACGGTTAAACCGCGTCCAATCCTGCACTGGAGCGCCAAGTAGTTGATGTCGTGGGAACTCTCGTTGTCGGACGTTCTTCGCTAGTCTGCTCTCATAATAACTTTTTTCCCCATGTTCAAACGCATACGGAGGAAGGTTAACAAGTAATCGAGGATGTCGCTTCTGGCCACTGGCACAATTAACCTCCTGCAGGTTAACCGGGGAGGTTTTGCAAGCCAAAGCTCCCACTGTATTCAAAAGAGTGCTAACATCGGGTTCGTTTCGATTAAGGACGGAATAATACGAGACGTGGGATTCAGATCCGCTGGAAGCGACTGTTTCCTTAACGGCGGATTGCATCGCTCCATGAGGACCGATTTCGATAATCACATCGACCAAGGCTTTGTGCTCAATGCTGTCTTCGTCTGATTGGAAAAGCATTGCACGAAGACCGGTTGTGAATCTGACAGGAGAAACCATGTTTTCAACCCAATAAGCAGCTTCCAATGAGGAGTCCATAACCTGCTTTCCGGTAACAGTCGAGAATATGTGGATATTATTCGTGCAGTCCGGATGTTCGCCAGACAGTGTGCCCATTAGTTCACAGTACTCATCGGCGACGGCTTTCATGTGCGCGGAATGGTAAGCGTTCTGGACGTTGAGCTTCCGGGCAAATATTCCTTCAGAATCAAGGAGCGTTTTCAAAGCATCGACCATCGCCTCATCGCCAGAAACGGTATTATTCTTCGGTGAATTATAGCAAGCGATAATCAGTTCGCCTTCGTAATCTACTTTCACCTTCTCCAAATAAGACTGAAGCTTCTCTTGCTCAAGGCCAACCGCAATCATAGACCCTTTGGGGTCAGTTTGTTTAGCAGAGACATATCCGCGATAGTACGCCGCCTTCCAGGCTGCCTCACGAGACAATTTCCCAGCACAGTATGCAGCGGCGATTTCGCCCGAAGAATGCCCAACAACGCGGCTCGGAACGATGCTCCATGATGCAAGGAGCTCCACTAGTGCAATTTGGATCGATGCACAAGCAGGGTGGGAGAGCTCAGGAACATTGATACGTGACTCGCATTTGTCCTTAAGTAATTCCTCTAGGCGACAATGAGTAGGCTAGAAAGATAGTTCAAGGAATAGGACGGCTTACCCATGAGTAACCATGGACTTCCAAGCGAAGTCATATATTCTGTTGCTTCCTCTATGCTCTTTCGAAAGACTGGGTAGACCAGGAGCTGTTGGCCCATGCGGTGGTATTGAGCTCCCTGGCCAGTGAAAACAAAACCGAGCCTTGGGACATTGCGAGCGTTGATGCGTTTTGACAATGAATTCTCGCTTGCAAGGTGGTCTCTGAGCTCTGAGATTGAATTCGCAAGCAGACAAGTCTTCCATCGAAGCCTTGATCTTTTCTCCGAGAGTGTATATGCGAGATCATCAAGCAACCCCTCCGAATCCTGCAACGGCAGGTCTTGCCTTGAGAGATATTTGTTAAGCTCTGTGGCCACTCGGCCCACACCTTCTTTATCGGCGGCTGACAGTAAAAACACCCTAGGAACCTCGCCCCTCGTTGTCGTGCCGTTTGTTAGGGGTTCATCAGGGGTCGGTGCCTCAATGATTTCATAATCTCCATTCGTCGCATCGCCGTTGGTAAGCTTTTCAGTGCCATTAGGTATATCTTCCTTTGTCTCGATGTACAATCTCTTCAGCCTTGAGACATGTTCGCAAATATATTGTCCGGTTGGCGCAGATTGGCGGGTGTTGTGGTTCCCTGAAAGGCCGTTCTCCTCCAGGAAATGGTAGGCGTCGTCTAAGACGCAGTGCGCGTTAGTCCCGCCAAATCCAAAGGAGTTCACGGAAGCTCGACGGAGTCCGGGCCTCGGCCAAGGGATGCATTCAGTCGGAAAGTCAATGTTCCACTCTTTCGTTGGGATTTTCGGGTTGACTTTCTCAAAATTGGCATTCGGTGGTATTATTCCAGATTCCAAGATCATAACGGACTTGATTATCCCTGCGATACCCGCGCCACCTTCCAAGTGCCCAATGTTGGACTTGAGAGCTCCAATATACAGGGTTGTGTCGCGTTCCGCTGAAGTAAACCCATCAGCAATGCCCCGGGCTTCTATGGGGTCGCCAGCTGCCGTGCCAGTGCCATGGGCCTCCACAAACATTGTCAGATTAGGGTCTAAAGCTGCTTTTTTATACACCTCGCGGATGAGATTCGTTTGTGCCGTGCTACTCGGAAGGGTGATGCCGGGAGTGCGCCCGTCCTGATTGACGCCTGTAGAACGAATGACTGCTCGAATCGTATCGCCGTCCTCTAGGGCCTTCGCCAATGTCTTGATAACAATCGTCCCTACACCTTCACCACGGCCGTATCCTTCGGCTCTGTGGTCAAAGCTAAAGCATTTGCCTTCAGGGCCCAAGAATCCGGAGTGGCTCATGGCGATGATATCTGGGACGTGGGAGATAATGCTACCGCCCGTGACCACAGCCTACAGTCTTGTCAGCGAATCTGGCGAGAAGCCGAACTGCAACGGGAAACGAGAAACTGTGACGGATGTGATAGCCTACCATCTCCGCATCGCCGGATCTTAGACTCTGGGCTGCCAGGTGGACAGCAACAATACCGCTGGAGCATGCCGTGTCGATCGTAATACTGGGTCCGCCAAAATCATAAAACCAGCTGACGCGGTTCGAGATAATAGACTGCTGGCCGCCAGTAGGTTTATGCTTCATCGCCGTCTCCAAGTCCGCATCCATGAGGATCATATGGTCCCGGTTAAATCCACTCGCGTAGACTGACGTCTTGGAACCAATGGCTTTCTCCATCGGAATACCAGCTAGATAGTAATGGGTGAGCTGGGTTTCAATGAGCAGACTACATCAGAAGTGAGTTCTGGGATTACCATTCTCGAGCGCGTGATAGACATTCTCCATTGCTACCCGCTGCTGGGGATCCAAGGTCATAATCTCCGTTTTATTGACGTTGAAGAATGGCGCGTCAAATCCCAAAGGGTCTTCGGATAGGAAATGGGCACCTTTAACGTAAAACTATACAGTCGAGAGTCATGTTAGCACAGTCACTTTTCAGTGGGCCCGACGGTATAGAGCACCAACCGTTCCGCCATGTTCAGGATCTGGATGATAGAAGGCATTGGCGTTAAACCGCTCCTTTGGAAAAGGAGTGGCTGCCTGGCGAGCTCTCAGCAAGAGCTCCCAAAATCTATCTGCACTTGTCGCCTCTTGGGCAAAGCGAGTTGCGAAACCGACGACGGCCAACGGCGTTGTATCGGCATCGCGGCTAAGCAGAGTCGCATCCATTATTAAAGGGTATTCTCAAAAAACGCAAAAAGGACAAAAATTGAAAACGTCTGCTAGCCCGGGCGGAATGATGTCTATTTATTTTCAATTCCTGGGACTCCTAAAGATCTCTATGATGTAGCGGAATTGACAGGGGATATAAAGGGCCTTTGTTGAACTGGTGAATTAGGAGTTGGTTATCCGAGGCGCGCAACAAATGCCCTGACGGCACTGCTCAGTGAACGTTTGGCAGTGAATTCCGGAGCAGCTCTCCAACACTGTTACCTGGCTTGAGAGAGACCCGTTCTGCTGCATTTTCCAGAATCAATTGACACGGGCCACGTGTTAAGCATCGTGGGTAAAAGAAAAGGAGCAGACTCTGAATCCGCCGCGGGGAGAGCGTTTTGTTAGCACGCATCGATGTGTTTCGGCCCTCCCAATGATTTAACTAACTAACTAGCTAGTTAGCTAGTTACCCTCTGCTTGTTCACGCGCTCCACCTGTGGAAAAGACTGGAGTCCGGAAACTCAAGGGATTAGCCGCTATCAAAGATGTTGTGCGTGGCAAGATTCCCTTAGTCTCGTTTTCTGATGACTTGGAATTCTTAATTTTTTATCTTTTTTTTTTATTTTTTCTCCCTTTGGGTTTCTCCCGGCCGAGGCCAAGCAATTGGAGAGGCGCCATCATTATTATCGCGCTTCGACAGCGGTTTCATTGACCGTCTCTGAGCAAAATTAATTGTAGGATGCATATACGGAGCCCTGTAGGTGCAACATGAGGAGTCCCAAAGCGCAGCCCGGGTTGGTTGATCAGGCCTGGGAACTGCGAATGAACATCGAGACAGCCTGCATATTAAAACCGCGCCCAGACGTGACGGCGGGGACATGCAGCAGAGGCGAAGGGTGCATCCACGCTGGCGACCAGCAATATAGAGTTGTGCCGAGTATGATCCTTGCAGGGATTGCGTCGCTGGAATCATCAGGCCTGGAGACATTAAAAATAAAAAAAAAATAAAAAATAGCTATTAATACCGCAAGCGACAATCATGCGTGGATGCAGCAGATCACTGTTGAAACGCTCGTCACACAAAGGCTGCTGCACAAAGCGGTTGTTTCAGTCGGACGCCGGCGAGGTTGGCCTGTTGGATGTGTGTTTCCCCAAGTGTTCTCTCGCCCGCGATCCGGTTGACGGGATCCTGGGAAAGGCGCAAGAAACATGGACCCGGGAGCCTAACGGCAGGCAGCCCGAGCCAAAACTCCCTGCTGGGCTGCGGGGACTGGTGTCGCCAACGGTTCGCACCGCGCATTGCAGCGAAGATCTCTCCATCCCAGGTCGTTGGGATCCGCAGAGAAAGAAAAAAATAGAGATGCAGCGCCGTTGACGCTTCCATCATCAATGGGTAGTTATTGCACTCTGCATCCGTGGTGCACCGGTCGAGAGTCGAATCCTGAAGCCCTCTCACTTGACTCTGTACATCGTTAGTTCGCTAGGCGGCCCACCGTCTCCCCGCCGCCAACGGCCGGTCAGGCCTCCATGCGGCAACATTGCGACTCGCCTTGATGCCGCATGGCTGTAGTTTACTGTTGACGCATGTATCAAGCTGGATGGTCACCCGTGAACTGCGAATATGGTGGGGCTGTCTCTGGTGCGCTGCCTGTAGTTCTTCATGAGAATGATACATGCAGGTATCAGCTTGCAGGCCAAGTAGAGTCCTGGGCTGTCTCGGAAGGGGAAGCGAGCAAAAGGCCCCGCGAGCTGATCTATGCCAGGATCAAAGGCCCGCTTCTCCCATCCGGATCACTGCCATCACACCAGGAGCCCTGCTGCGAGTCTCTGAGAGGATGACGGATACTGCATCTCCAGGTCTTGCGTTGGACCTTTGCGGTCGCAGGGATCCATCGCTCCATCCCGGTCCTGTAGCTAATGGTCTTTCTCGTGGAAGGGGATCCTTGCTTGCTGGGCTCGCAAGCTCCTCCCTCGGACAGCTGCAGGACGGACCGTCATGGTGCATAAAAGTCCAAAGCGCGAAGTCGACGGGGACAATATCAGACGGGAGAGAGGCGCCTCGCTTCTTCGTGTGATGTGATTTCGTGCCGCAGCTCGCTGTTGCTGACGCCCGCTGGCAGGCCATGTGAACGCCGAGAGAGCTAGAAGGTTGCGTTTAAACTCAGCTCCTTGCCCAAGTGCTCTGCTTAGCGACATATGTAACAAAACTCACGGTCTCCTCCGTCACTGCTGCATACTACAACCACGCGTCCCTCGTCATGTCCGTCCAGTCCTGGATACTGCCAACCCCGCCGGTGCTGCGACCTGTGCCGTGTGGATGGAGGAGCATGACCTGGGAGGTCGCCTCGGCCTGTGCTTCTGGCTTTCGACGACAGCCAGCAGATGGAGAGTGGACTGAGCGAGTGGGTGCTGAGCACGGATGCAAGGCCTCTCCAGCAATGGGCTGCTGTCAACGGCCTCCGACTGGCCTGCCTCTCCATCTCATCCCAAGCTCCATAGATGAGCTAGCCCAAACGAGGCATTCATGATGCGCCGTCCGTGAGCTGCATTAACGACAACCTTGCGAGTTAAGCGCGTTTTCGTATAGGTAGCAGGCCCGGGATGCTGGCCAAACCCAAGCTCGCAAGGCGAGGTTGGACGGCGAATCCTTGAACAGCCCCATGCTTGAACGAATGATGGTTTTTTTTTTTTTTTTCCATTCCCTGCAATGGATCCCTTGCAGCTCAGACAGTGTGATCCAGAAAGCTGGGTGATATGATTGCATCAGGGGCAGCACGGCCCGTCTTGTCCAGGTTGACCACCGCCAGCTCCGTATTTTGAAAGGCAAGGTAATCCACTGTTGGCTTAGAACCATCAACAGCTATCGAAACAATGGCAGTGATTGGGACTGAGTTTGTCTCAGCACTGGTGATATCGCGTGGAAACTAACAAGTTAACTGATAGGGACTCGAGCTGCTGACGATCCAGCTCTTTAGCAGCCCATTCATTCTGGGGGCACGGCGCTTGATCAGACCATCGCGTCGAATCAGCCACAACCACGGCAGACATCATCGAGCTAGTTACCTAGTCACTGAGAGCGCGGCGTTGATGATTGCACTCCGTCGTCTTCACTTCTCGCGTCTCTCGCGAGTTAGTTAACTGATTGACTAGCTAACTAGCGTGTGGTGAGAAGGCCGATGTCAGCCACCAGGTCGGCAGCCGCACGACCTCAGCGGGCCCTCGATTCAAAGTCGCGCCGACGACGAGGTAAGGACCCGTGTCATGACAGTAGAAAATCCGTGTCAGCCAGGGCTAATTCAATTGCTCGCCATGCTCCGCTCCCAGCGACAACCCGAACCCGCGTCGCGTCAAGACGCTCTGCTAGAAAAGGACCCTGCCAACCAGTCGACGCACACCCACTCGAAGCTGTAAGACGCCCTGTCCTGTCTTTCTTTTGATGCGAAGCGGTCCCCAGGCCAAGACTCACAACGCCGCCAGGTTCGCCTGCACACCCAAGGCCCGCCGCCCGGCTACTCCTTCGTCCCCAAAGGCAACGTCTACATCACCCGCAACAGCCGCCTCCACACCCATCGGTCCAACCAAGTTGTGTACACGGTGCAGCACTCCAAAACAAACCGCACGTTGGGCATCTGCGTCCCGTCGGACGTCCACACGCGGGTGCTCGGCCTCGCCGCCGAGACGGCTGAGGCGCGAGAACTCGCCGTTGCGCAAAAGGACACCCGCGATGCACGCCACGCAAGCGACATGCTCGCGCGGGAATTCCCACACATGCCGGCGCTCGATATGCGTGCTATCGTGAATCACGCATTCCTCAAGGGCTCGGGGCGCGTGGGTCGTAGCGGGACAGTGAGCAGTGAGGAAAAGAAAGCAGAGCTGGCGGTTGAAGCCCATATCCGCCATGTCCATACGGGCTACGAAGGTTTACTGGAGACCGGGATGCAGCGGGAAGACGCCAGAGAACTGGTATGGGACCAGGTGAAGAAGGTCAAACGGGCCTGGAAGGAGGGCGTGCCATGAAGACGGTAGCCGGCCAGATCCTACGGCAGCTGCTTGGCCTGAATGCATGGATGAGCGCCTCTCCCGTCGCAACGCACAGTGGGCAGCAGCCACTCATCCGGAAGACTTCAATCAGCGAGCAACACTTAATACCCTACATACCGATATACCATCGGAAGATTGTTGTTCCGATTAACTAACTAGGGGCTGCTCGCTCGTGTTTGTGCTCAATTTGGTCTCCGTTGATGAAAGAGAGTCGATCGCTAGTTGGTCATAATGACTAGTTATTGGATGCTGGCTGCAGAAATTCATAGAAATAAAGCCCATTGCATTTCCTGCAAGCAGCTAGCTGCACGCCGTGTTTCGCGCGACTAGAGGGCGAACCGCATGGCCCAGCCGTCGCTATATTTGGATCGTCTATTTTTAGCATCTGCAACATGCAACTATATAAAGATGCACGAACCATCGTCGCCTAGAAATTGAGCATTCTTACAGACGACTAGCAGTCAGTCGCAATGATTAGAAAGCGAACTCGTCCCATGCTTCAACTCTCCGAGACCGTCCAGCGTCTTGCGAGCAGTCTCACGCGAGACATGATCTCTCCTCCATTGTCGCCGGAATGCGGCTTCGATCCTAATCGAATCACTCCCGCGGTGTTAGCAGCAACCGAGTTCGTGGCAAACAAACTGCTCGCAATGTCGGTCCACGTCCGATTCATCGTCACCCGCTTCACCCCGTTGCCCATCGGACAGGGATCAAACCTCCTCATCATCCCCATCGCGCCTCTCGATCCAGGAACCTGGGCCGCCATCAACAAGCATAGCCGTCGCGCCGCAAAGAAATTCGGCCTGTCCTCGAGATGGATGACCCCGATTGATGTGGGCGAGACGCGAACAACACACTGGGAGGACATCATCAAGCGGTCCTTGGTCCAGAACGACGTCCTCTTCAGCCACGAAGGCCTAACGCTCCTGAACATCGACCACGTCTACTTGCTCAAGCAATATCTAAATGCCCTTTCGAGAAACGTCACGGAGCACATTCCACCTCACATCTACCTGGACGCCTGTCTCTACTTGCTGAGGCAACTTATGCGAGAGACCCGAGGCCGGCCGTTCACGCGCGGGTTCATCCACTGTACGTATGACCACCTCCACGTCCGCGATGACCTTCTCCTCCACCTGGCAAAGAAATATGAACTCCAGCACGGCCATGAGGCCATCGTCATGTTGAAACAGAAATCAAAGGGCAACGAGCGAACGAGGTTCTTCATCAATAGGCGAGGAAGTCTGATGAGACAGCCAGCCTTGAGCCGAAAGCCCGTCACCCCCAACACTGCCTCCGACGTCACGCCCATCACCAGAGGCGAGTGGAGGCTCCTGATGGAACAAAGCCTGGTTCATCTCGGCATGACGCCGTTTCGCTGAAGGAAAGTAGCAGCAGTTTCGAATGTTGTCCCTCTGTTTGTCTCGCTAACGCCTCGTCTCTACAGGCAGTTCAACCGCAGACGGAAAGACTAAATCTGCCTCCAAACCGCACCCACGGCACCATCGTTGCGAGAATCTCAATCCCACGGGCTTTCCCAGCCTCGATGGACAGTAGCAACGTCAATTCTGCAGTCGTCTCCGACAATCGACAGAATGGCGAATCGCAACGCAGCCCAACACCAGGGCAGGTCGGAACACACCCACCGCGCTCCTAGGCGAGTCAAGCCCTGGTGAGTTGTATTTGGTGATGGAATCAGACGTGGGGGCCCATATCCAGAGAAGCCAGTGTTGCTCTCGAGAAAAGATTTTGGGGAAATCCCTGGAATGGGCAGAAGAGGTGGCCAAACGTGAATGTCAAGAATCGTCACATTGATTTCAACCTCAGGCAGTGTTGGCTCGCATCCTCTATTGTCTCGTGATACTCTGTAGCTCTACTAGATAACTAGTCGAAT